GTGGGCGCGCGTCAGCTTTTGATGCGCCTAAGAAATGAGTGGTGATGGGTGTGTGTGTGTGTGTGTGTGTGTGTGTGTGTGTGTGTGTGTGTGTGTGTGTGTGTGTGTGTTTGGGCTGTGTAGCCGTGTGTGTGTCCCTGCTGGTTTTCCAGCACAAATAAGGCGCTCAGCCAATGGGCCTCCGTGGCCTCTGTTCCCTGCACCGATGCTGCCTGTGACGCGTTTTGAGGCGCCTCAAAACTCTTTTCTGTTCTCTGCTCCGATGCTCCCTGTGACGCGCTATTTCTGAGGCATTTCAAAGCCGCCTCCATTCCACTGGCCACGCCCTGCAGTGCAGATTCCTCAGCACCAAGAAGGCGCTCAGCAAAATGGGCTTCCGTGGTCTCAGTTGTTTGCACCGATGCTGCCTGTGCCGCGTTATTCTTGAGGCACCTCAAAGGGCCATCTCATGTGCTTCCACTCCGCTTGCCACGCCCTGCAGGTTCCCCAGCACCAAGAAGACGCTCAGCAAGTGGGCTTCCGTGGCCTCTGTCTTTTGCTCCGTTGATCCTGCCTGTGACGCGCTGGGCTGTGAGCCTGGCGGCACCTGTGTGAAGGATCAGAACGGAGAGCGCTACTGCCAGTGGGGTGAGTGAGCATGGCTTTCCCACCTTTCCCCTCTCAACCTTAGCTCACCCATTCGTCTATCAAATCAACTCCGTGCCATCCAACCAACCCACATATTTTGAGGCCTCAACCTAGTGTCACCTAGTGTCCTAGTGAGAGTGCATGATGGTTGCCTTCCTGCCAGCCTACCTCCTTGCCCTCTCGCCTCTCTGGAACCCCGCTGCTCCACCAGCATTCCTGCAGACATGAAACCCTAATTTCTGGGTTCCCAAACAGCTCGTTGCAGCTCGTTTCTTTGGATCCCCACTCCTCCACTAGCATTCTCCCTCTCCCTTGCGTCTCCCTTCGCATTTTTCCTTCCTCACCCTCTCCCTGTGCCGCCTGCCCCTCTGCTTCCCCAATTTTTCACTACTCACCCTGTGGCGCGTGCCCCACTGGAGCCACCTGCAAGGCCGTGCCTTCATTTTTCAACAGCTCGGTTCAGGTGCCTTACTGCTTTTTGAGGCACATGAGAAATCATACCGCACTGCACCCAACTCCACCCCGCCCCTCAGACTCACCCTGTGGCGCCTGCCCCACTGGAGCAACCTGCAAGACCGTGCCTGCGACTAACAAGCCTTCGGTGCAGGTGCCTTACTGCGCGTGCCCTGAAGGCTATAATATAACCGCAACCAAGTGTGTTGCAGGTGAGATTGTTGGATATTTACTCGCTCTACTCTCCACCCTCTCCACTTCGCATTCTCCCCACTCCTCTCTCTCAACAATACTTGTCCCACTCCCTCCTATCCCTTCTCGCCCCACTCCCTCCTCTCCCCGCTTGCCCCACCTCTTCTCTCTCCCATGCGCCCCACTCTCTGATTCACTTTTCTCGTGCTGCCTTGTTCGGTGAACAGATGATGCTGGCCTGAGTTGTGGGAATGTGGCAATGCATGTATGAAAGTTGATGGTATGAGTCATGTGGGAAGGCATGTAAGGTGCAGACAATCAATACACTGAGTCCTTCCCTGTGCCACTCTTTCTCAGGTGGAGCTTCCAACGTCTCTTTTTACAGCTACACAGTCATCGCAAATCGAACAGCAAAGGACAACTCTTCTCGACCCGTCACCTTCCGCTATAACCTGAATAGCTGTACCCAGATGCCGGAAGCAATGGCTGCAGATGGCGTGACAATATATGTTGTTGGGAACACCGATGATGCTCCTGGTTGCTCCAGCGTCAAAGCCTATTCAACAAACAACTGTGAAGGCACAACTGGTGACAAGTTGTCCCCCGGAACCCTTCCGTTGTTTTATGCAGCTTACTCGCCGTAAGTAATCGATCGTTTCTCGCCCTCACCCCTGCACAAACTATTCCACTTCTTTTTTTCTAAATCGCAATACGGCAGATACCATTTTCCTTACTCATCTTGTGATCTTTGTCCTCCCATTGTTACCATTAACCAGGGACTCAGGTGCGTTGTCTGAGCGCTCAGTCTGGTGCACTTACTAGTTGGATGACTAGGACGGGTGCATGGCGCGGGTCTACTCTTCAATAGTCGTCATCTGCAGCACTCAAGTCTTTTAACATGCTTTTAACTTGGATGGCTTCTTTTCTTTTCTTGGTTAAGACCCTTCTCCCCTCCTCTAAAGGTAGATCCAGTGTCGAAAGTTCCAGTGGAAACCCGGGGTAAACCCTTCTTTCTTGCCTACATTTGCGCCTGTCCTATGGTTGTCTTGCTTGAAAATCGTTTGTAGAGCTGGCTGTCTGTTTTGTGTATGAGGAGTTGAATTGAAACGGGAGGTTTTACCGTACTGGATTTCATTGAATCATGTTTCAATAGTGGTCCTCAGAGTGAGGCACAGCCTTGGCATAGCTCAGGCACCTAGTTGTTCACAATGTTTTACCGTAAGCAAAATGCCCATACGGTACCGGTACCGTAAGTGCCGTAGCTTGGTACTACGGTACCGGTACCATGCATGCACGCAACTCATAGTTTTTGCTGTGGACATTGGACATCCATTATCAACACAAAAACAAACACATTAGAAACTAATAGCAGAATCACAGAACCCGCGAATCGCACTCAATCGTATTCATCTTATGGCAGTGCCACCACTGTAGGGTTTCCCAAACACACGAGCTGCGTTACAGAGTTGTAACAAGCTGCTCCTGTGGTCTGATTGCAAGCCACTGGGTAGACACAGGGGTGGGGGTGCAGGGGAATCAAGGATACGGATTTTAGGCGCCTAAAGAATATGTTGCAGAGGAAGAGAAAGTAAAAACAGATAGGATTGAGGGCACGCACCCAGCAACAGAAGGGAGAGCATGCGAGTGAGAATGGCCCCCTGCAACCGATGACACCCTGCATGACACCACAGATGACACCCGAGATTGTGACACTCTAGATGACACCCAGAACGTTCCAAGGCTCAGCACTCACCACAGCTGGTCGTGCCTTTCACAGCAGTGAGCCCCCACTCGCACCCGTCGCATATCCACCCTCGATTCGGTGCCAGATCCAACGGCTGTACACAGCTCGGCGGCCACCGGCTATACACCGGCATGCAGGCCTTCCCCTCCGCCTCACACTTAGTTAAGTTCCCACCGCACACCGCCGCTCCGCAGAACATAGGGTTTCGCTGCACCATGTAGCTTCTGGGAAGGCCCTTGCACGCGCCCGTGTATTTTCCGGTGTAGGAGAGACAGTTTCCGCTCACGTCGCATTGGGAGGGGACGGGAGGGGGACGAGAGGGCGGGGGAGGAGGGGAAGGGGGGGGAGGCGGAGAAGGGGAGGGGGGAGGAGGCGGAGGAGGGGAGGCGGAGGAGGAAGGGGGGGGGCGGAGGGGGATGGGGCTGGGAGGGAGGAAGGAGCAGCGGCGGGAGCAGGAGACGGGGCAGAAGACGGGGCAAGGGCCGGGGGGTCTGGAGAAGCGGGAAGGGGAAACTCCCCTGTGAGGAAGTTCTTAAAGAGGAGGAGGGAGGAGAGGCGCGGGCTGTAGGGGGGAATGGGGCCGGTGAGCTTGTTTTCAAAGAGCCATAGCTTGGTGAGGGTGGCGTGGTTGATGAGGTAGGGGGGGATGGGTCCGTATAGGGAATTCCATGATAGGTCACTGAAAGAGGGGAGAGAGGGATGGGGCTAGAGAGGGGAGCAGAGAGGTGGGGAAGGGAAGAAAGGGGAAAAAGAGCAAATGGACAAGGGAATGGGGCCGGTGAGCTTGTTGTGAAAGAGCCACAGCTTGGTGAGGGTGGCGTGGTTGATGAGGTAGGGAGGGATGGGACGGGGGAGAAAGGGGGAAGGAGAGTAGGGGGAAGGTGGGGGAGAGAGTGGGGGAGAGGAAAGGAAAAGGAGAGGAAGGTCTGACGTTTCAAGCAGGTTTCAGAAGAAGCTACTGAGAAAAGAGCGATGGAGGGAAGCGACAGGAAAAGAACATGAGAGGGAAAAAAAATTGGGACGTTCAGGAAGTGGAAGAGAAGGGAGGGGGGTGCTAAAAATAAATTGGGAAGACATGGTGAGACATGTAATGAGATGGGATGAGATGGGAGAGCTGGTTAGGCGCACGAGGCGCTTTAGCAAAACTCGCAGCACCTCAGTCCATGCAAGTGCAAGCGGCACCCACAGGCGGTTGAGGTGCTGCAGGCTGTTAAGAGAGAGGGTGAGAGGCTAGCGTCTCAGCTTTTGAGCGAGCGGCACTCACAGCGACTGCAGGTTGGGGAGACAGGCGAGTGGTTTGGCAAAAAGGTCGAGGCGCGAGAAGATGTGGGCTGAGGAGAGGTTGGGTAGACAGGAAGGGTGACAGGCAGGTGAGAGACAGACAGGCAGGTAGGCTCTCCGCTACAACGCTCACAGCGATTGCAGGTTGGGCAGGCAGGCGAGTGGCTTGGCGAATACGTCAAGGCGAGAGAAGATGTAAGCCGATGAGAGGGTGCTGGTGAATGGGGGAGGGGAGGAGGGGGGGAAGAGGGCGGGGAGAGTATGAGTATGAAAGTGACAGAGAATGAGGGGGTGCTGGTGATAGTGGCTTGGCGAAGACGTCGAGGCGAGAGAAGATGCAGGCCGATGACAGGGTGCTGGTGATGGTGTGGGGGGGTGGTTGTGGGAGAGGGCGGGGAAAGTATAGGTATGACAGAAACAGGGAATGAGTGGGTGGTGGTGATGGTGATGGTGATGGCTTGGCGAAGACCTCAAGGCGAGAGAAAATGCAGGCCGAGGAGAGGGTGCTGGTGGTTGTTGGGGGGAGGGGCGGGTGCGGAGTGGGGTTAGTATTGCAAAGACGGAGAAAATGGGTGGCGATGGCTTGGCGAAGACATTGAAGCGATAGAAGAATATAGTATTGCGCTTTCAAGAAAAAGACAAGATCGATCCATTAAAATTGGCATTTCTGTGAGCGAGGTGAGGTGAGTGAGGGCGGACTAACATTTCTGTGAGAGTGGTGAGGGCGGACATTGTGGGCGGCAGAGTGGAGATTCGCGAGACCAGCAGGCCCCAGTGGATGTCTCTGTCGTTTTGTGGGGAGGGGGCGGGCAGGAGACGAGGAGAGGAGAGAGGAGAGGACGAGGAGAGGCGAATGAGGAGAGGCGAATGAGGAGATGGCGAATGAGGAGATGCCGAATGAGGAGGAACAATAGCCAAGGGGTAACAGAGAACGTCTCGCCCTCTCCTCATCACATGACACGCACGCCTGATGGAGAAGCAGAGAAGAGGGAATGAAGTGGAGAGGGTGAATCGGTTTTTTGAGAATTCTCAAATAACGGGAACAGGAGCCAAAGGATAACAGAGAACGTCTCGCCTGTATAAATGGAGAAGCAGAGAAGAGGGAAGGAAGTGGAGAGGGAAGGTGGGGGAGGGGAATGAGAGCAAACAGGCGCGTTGTCAGGGATAGGTCCTTCAGCAAAATCAAACAGGGGCAAACAGGGTCAAGCAGGGTCAAGCAGGGTCAACGAGAGTCAAAGACGTGTCGAGTATGGACAAGCTAGTTGCGGAAATTCCAGAATCCTCGCGTGGCTATCAAGTTGCCGTCACCCATCACTGGAATAATCGTCACCTCCCAACTCACATGGCGATTAGGTTCCCATTCTCGTCGCACTTCAATCCGCGGTAGAACCGCCCCAATCCATCGTCAGAGCAAGAGGCGCCCTTTCCTAGGTAGCGCACAGCAACCCGACTCTCGAGTCCCTCAGCAACTGGGGTGTCAGCAACCAACTCACATGGCGATCACATTGCCGTTCTCATCGCACTTCAGTCCGCGGTAGTATCGGCCCAGACCATCATCAGAGCAAGAGGCGCCCTTTCGCCAGCCAAATGAGCCCGGCACTCTCAGCGCTGTCTTGAGGTCGCTTACAGCGGGGACTGGAAGTGGGTGGGAGGGGGGAGGGGAGGGACGGGTGGGGGGAGGAGGTAGGGGAATGAAGGAGACTGGCATCCTAAGAGCTGTCTTGAGGTCGCTTATAGCGGGGAAAGGGTGTAGGAAGGGGGATATGGAGAGGCGAGAAATGAGAGGAGGCGTAAGTGAATTATGGAATCGCATTGATTTCATCTCAAAGTGCCATTGATTTTCCTTGACTGGAAGGGAAGGATAGGAAAGAAAGGAAGGAGGAAAAAGACTGAAGGAGGGGAAGGGGAAGGAGAGGGGGAGGGGAAGGAAAGGAAGGAGGGAAGGGAAGGAAGAGGATGAAAGAGGAGGAGGAGGAGGACGAGGAAATCGAAGGAGGAAGGGGAAAGAGACTCACGAATGGAAGAGTTGAATGGCACATAGACGGTGGCTGCGGCCAATCAAATGAGGAAGGAGAAGGCAGGTAAAAGAAAAGGCTCACCAATCGAGGCGTTGAATGGCACATAGACGGTGGCTGCGGCCGGCACGAAAGGGACGGCGATGAGGAACAGTAGCAGCGGAAGCGAGGGGACGGCGTTGGATGGGTGGTGGCGGCGGTGCGGGTGGTGGCGATGGTGGTGGTGATGATGATGGCTCGGAGAGGGCCGAGGGGCGAGGGCGGGTGTTGTCCGACGCACGGCGATGGCCGGCATGATAGGCACACCGGCGGGTGCCATGATTGGTTCGTAAAGGTACTGCTGCGAGTAGTTCACGAAAAGTTTAGTACCACTTATAGTGGTTTAGTGACTACCGCTAACAGTGTTCGTATGAACGGGAGCAACTGCGAGCTTGAACAGGCTTTTACGTTCGCACGATTAGTCCTACGGCACGACGAATAGTTCTTTCCTCCTCCGCATTACGAATAGTGCCTCCCTCCTTCGCTTCGCACGAATAGTAGGCCCTCCCTCCCCCGTCCGTACGTTGTGTCGGCCGCGGGGCGAGAAGCAAGCTCCCGCGCGGCTTGCGCAGGGGGTTCCGTGCGGGGGGGAGCGCGGTCGGGTGAAGAGTGCGCGGAGCACGTGGTCGGGGGAAGAGTGTTGACCGTAACCGTCGCATCGTTACCCTAGCACGAAATTGCTTGCGCGGAAAGCAACAGTGCATTGAATCTTATGAAGGCTGCAAGGCGGCCTTGAATTGAAAATCCGTCTGGCAGAGACGCCGCTTTCGCGGAAAGAGGAGTTGTTGGCAAGCGACAGCCAGCGCGGCAAAGCGAGCGCGGAACGAGTGGCGGAAAAGCGGACATCTCTCCCCTCGCCGCCCACCGACAAGAGGTGAAATTCGTGGACTCGTTCGTGAGGTCGAGGAGAGGTGAGGAGGGCAGGGAAAGGCGCAGCGAGGCGATTTGGGGTTTGCTTGCTGCGGCAGAGTGGCGGGGTGAGCGCGGGGAAGGGTGTAGGAGAGCGGACGGAGTGTGCTGCCACGTGCAGCGCTTGTGCTGGCATTTATAGTGTGCGCCCACCACGTGATGACGCCAGCACCCGCCCATTGAGCTTCCTGCGGAAGCGTCCGCTTCAACAGCTTAGCTCGTTTACAATGCGCGATGGTGACCGACAAGTGATCCATCATAAAAGGACAATGTTATGAACAAGATTCATATGGGGAGGATGAGTGAATCAGTAATCTTACATTATACATATATAAATAATTACGGAAAAAAATAGGGTTGCACTAATGACCGCTTAAAACGCTTCAGCAGGAAAACCCTGTGCTTGTGGTACACGTGATGCCAGCTCCCTCAACTCCTGCACCTCCTCGGGAGTTAGTGACCACCCCAAAGCCCCTGCAAACTCCGCGGCCTGTGCAAGTACAAGCAAGCACACATCACATACAGGGCGCCCCAATTAGACAGAGCCACACATATGCATCACGTACCACCACACAGTAACGCAACAATCACACAAACACGAATTGGCCACAAATGCTAAATAAGCAAACACTGGGTGCCTTGTGCTCAGAACTGGTACGCAGTAGAGAGCAAAAGCGAGACTACAGATTGAGTTCGCGTTCAGGCAACATGCAAGGATCTACACCCGAAAGTTTGGCGCAGCCGGCCATAAGCGGCACCGGAAGAATTTTTCTGAGGAGCAAAACATGTTGGGGAAGATCAAAGTGGCTGGCAAAAGTTGGAAGTGGACAAGTGCATTCGCTGCACTGTGGTCCAAGAGGAGGGCTAGCATTTCCTGCCCTTAGACTATCTCATCTGGAACAGTAGTTCACCCTCGGTTCCTCACGCGCGGTTACGACCGTTATGGGGTATATGCTTGCTCACTCGGTGTATACTTTTCATATAATAATATTAAAAAAAAAAAAAAAAAAAACGCGAGACTTGGCCTACCTGTGCTCTGTTCTTGGCTCCTGGGATCGGAACAATGTTCCCTTGCACCACGAGCCAGTTAAGAGCCACCTGAATGGACGGAGGCACACAATTGTCCAGGGGGGAGAAGCCCAAGTCACACATACGGACACACCATAAGCCAGCTAGGGGTAGTTAGTTGACGAGGACTGTGTAAACTGCAGCTGAGACAGTGCCATAGCACCGGTGTAAAGCGACGGGTTGAGCCTCGGGACTTGAGGCCATGGGTTGTGCTCGTGTTTGCTTCCTTCTCACCTGTGTCTTCGTTCGCCCGCCGTACTTCTCCCCAAGCTCTGTCATGCGCTCTAGCAGAGGCTGGGCCTGCATGGTACAGGTAGAGAACGGTAGAGAGGGGCAGATGGGGGTTGGGGCAAGGGAAGGGAGGGGCAGGGATGGGCAGTTAGGGGCAGAGCAGGGACCAGTTGGGAGAGAGCAGAGAGGGCCAGAGAGAGAGAGAGAGAGACCAGTTTGGAATGAATGGACTGGTTGGCACTGTCGCCACACGAACGTGCATGAACGAACCTCTGTGGCGCACCTCAATGGACGTGGCTGCAAAGCGGGTTCAATGGCAGCAAGCTGACTGAGAAACCTCTGCCAATGGTAAGTGGCAATAACTTGGCGAATTCCTGTGATACCAATTGCTTAGAATTTCTGCACAAATACCTTGCGAATGAAGTCTGGCGAGTAGGAGTTGGCACGCGGCCCCGTGGGGGGCTTCTGGGGAGAGTACTTGCCACTGAGGACACCTGGCGAGAGGTGATAGGTCAGCAATGGCAGGGTACGATGCAGTGGGTCCGATTACTTGCGTGAGTATCATGGAGAGAGAATCAGCAGGGCACGTAGGGTTCGTAAGAACTGGGTGAGATGTCGATGAAGCAGACGCATGCAGTGAGGAAAGAGAACGGAAAAGACAGGGTAAGCACAGGCTGAAACGGTCCACTCGTATTCGCATGTTGTGTGTCCGCGTTTTAGTGGGTTTCCGGACTGACATACCTTGGGAGAGAGGGCTGTAGGCGATGAGTGTAACGCCCAGGTCCTCACACGCCTGCTTCACGCCATTGCTCTCAGGCACGCGATACAGGATGTTGTAATGCACCTGATGGGCGGGCAGGGGGAAAGATACCAGAGTGGGTGTGGTGGAGGTGACCGTGACCTTTAAGACGTCTCGGCACTGACACGCCTGCTTCACGCCGTTGCTCTCAGGCGCTTGGTACAGGATGTTGTAATGCACCTGATGGGCGGGCAGGGGATGTGGAGATGATGGAAAAGGTGATGCACTAACATGTGCAACACAGTGATGCCCAGGTCCTCACATGCTTGCTCCACACCGTTGCTCTCAGGGTCTCGGTACAGGATGTTGTAATGCACATGTGGGGCAGGCAGGAGGCATGGCGAGTGGCTGTGGTGAGAGTACATACTAGTGATAAGCTTTGAGATGTCTCAACACTCACACGCCTGCTTGACACATCGTATAAAACGAGGACACTTGTGCCATGGCACACAGGCTTATAACGAGGATGGAAGGCGTACCTGGTTGGAGGCGAGAGGAACCCCTCGCTTGGCCAGCTGCTGGTGTGCCTGCTGCAGGCGATCCACTGAGGGAAAGGAGAGGGAGAAAAGGGGAGGAAGAATCGGGGGAGATGGGGATTGTACAGAGACAAAAGTTTAAATGTGGCGCAAGGAACGGCCCAAGAAAGAGCACAGCCAGCTGGTTGTCCGTAAAAAAAAATTATAACGCGCTGGTTAGCCAGCATAGCGTGCTGCAGTGAGTCCAGTGGAGAAGGAAGGCCGTGTGAATGGAAGGGGGGCGTCTGGTACAACTCACGCTTCTAGTTGGAGACCCCCACTGCCTTCACCAGCCCCTGCTCCACACAGTCCCCCAAGCCGTTGATGTTATGTACCCCTCGTTGCCCCACACGCGTTGACCTCTCTCACTGCCTTACCACTCTACGAAGCCCGTCATTCAGTCACCCAGTCCCGAGCTTGCCAAGTGCATGAGTCCAGGCACTTCGTTACTGGATGGGACGAGGCACTCACACTTATAGTTGGACCACCCCACTGCCTTCACCAGCCCTTGCTCCACACAGTCTGCCAAGCAATCAAAGTTATACACCCCTCGTTGCCCCACACACATTTTGAGCCTCTCTTGCTGCCTTCATCACACACTCAGCAGACTATGTGGGTGGGACAAGTCACTCACACTTGTAGTTGGAAACCCCCACTGCCTTCACCAGCCCTTGCTCCACACAGTCTGCCAAGCCGTCGATGTACCCTTCGTTGCCCCACACACCAGGCCTGGAAGAAGTGTATGCAGAGGAGAGCAGCAGAAGAAATGGGGAGGCAGGAGAGGGGACTTGAGCGCGCATGGTCAGGGTAGGTCAGCCCCTGCTCTCCTTCACAGTCTGCCAGGCCGTCAAGGTATCCCTTGTTGCCCCACACGCCGGGCCTGAGGCGCGAGAAAAGAACCAAGGGGATGGGGAACGTATGGGGCCAGCACAGGAGGATAGATTATCTGGTAGATTGGTGACGCTGTGAAGTAAAATGTGCAGATTTTACTCACCAGTGCAGACAGGTCAACGCAGTCAACTCACCATTGCAGTTGGTACAGGTCAACGCAGTCAACTCACCATTGCAGCTGGTACAGGTCAACGCAGTCAACTCACCAGTGCAGCTGGTACAGGTCAACGCAGTCAACTCACCAGTGCAGCTGGTACAGGTCAACGCAGTCAACTCACCAGTGCAGCTGGTACAGGTCAACGCAGTCAAGCTGCAGGCGCCTCAGAGACTCCTTCACAGCCCCAACCACAGATTCCCGCCCAAAACGCCATGGCAAGGCGGCAAACTTTGTTGCTACTATGGGAGTGAGGTCCCCTGCCTGGCTCTTGCTGGCTCGTTCCTTGATGAACCTTTGGGGGGGGAAGGGGATGCACAGGGGACAGGGGGGATGTAGGGGTGGGGAAAGAGGAAAACCGTAGGTCAGGAGGGAGGTTGAATGTGGGACCTGGGGTTGGGTGCGTAGCAGGTTGGGTTTGTTCCGGATGACGGGAGCAGAGAAGGGCATGGAAATGGGAAATGGAAGTGAAGGGAGTAACTCTGAGTTGGCATGGAGGGCCAGTACCTGCCAAGCAGTGACTCTGAGTCGTCTGCTCCAAACTGCAGGGACACCAACGGAAGAAGACAGGAGGGTAACTTTTGACAAATATCATACATCGCACACGTAAGCACATAAACAGAATCGCGAAGACTAGAGGAGGAGATTTTCAAGCCTTATATTCTTTTTGAAAAGCCGGAGCACCTGTTTGGTGTGGTTGATGATTTTCGAGTCATCTCGAAAGAAATGAAACGTGGACGTGGCTTGGAATGAGGAAACACCTGTTTGGTGCCGTAGACCTCCGCAGTGTCAATGAAGTTGAGCCCAGAGTCCATGGCCGCGTCAAACGCCTGCTTCGCATCGCGCACATTGCGGTCTGACAGTGGGAAGGGGGTTGGAGTGGAGTGGAATCAGAAGAGCTAGCTTATTCGTCAGGGAAATCAATCAACTCAGCAGTATTGATGAGGTTGAGCCCAGAGTCCATAGCCGCGTCAAACGCTTGTTTCACATCCCGGACGTTGCGGTCTGACAGTGGGAAGACAATTGAGGTGGGATGGATCATCAAGGGACAATTAAGGTAGGAAGGAACCCCGAGAGCAGCCGAAGCATGCAAACGGCGCAGCGAGTAAAATCGCATGTTGGAAAGAACTTGCCACAGCCACCTGAGGGACCCTGAACGGTCACCAGGCAGGTCACCTGATAGAACACATGACTATCGGCTTCTGGATACAATGTCCGGTCGTTCTTCATGATAACACTGACTTTTGAGTCGACTCAAAAGTCAACAGACAGGTCACCTGATAGAACACATGACTATGGGCTTCTGGATACAATGCCCGTCCGTTCTTATTGATACACTGACAGGGATGTTACGGCACCGCACTCACCGTTCCACTCGCCGTCGTTCCAGAAGAATTTGTCGCCCCACGCCCACGCGCCCACGCCGATGATCGGAACCTCCACGTCCGTCCTCCCCAGCTTCACCCGCGGCACCTCCGCCGCTGCTGCCACCGGCGCGCTGCTGTCTGACGCAGCGGTCGCGCGAATTCGCAGCGGTTGCGATGCGGAATGCAGCTTGAGTGACGTGGCGGAAGGTGGCTGGATGCGCTGACCCTGGAAGAGAGGGGAGAGGAGCGGTGAGATTACTGCATGCCATGCGGGGAATGACTCAGGTTGCGGAATGAAGTCGCTGACGATACATATTCAAGTCAAAGTGTAAACACAGGGACATTAGGAAATGCAGTCTCTACGCGGCAAATTCATGGACATTGTTTACGTGGAGCTTACTGAAATGCTCTTAACACCGACTGCCGCGGCGTGACTCGGTTTCAGGGAGAAGGACAAAGACGAGGCAGCGAGGGTTTCCATGTCGGCAACGGCGGAGTCGTAGAAGCCGCGATTACGCACACGACTCCGAATGTGATCGCAAAAATAGCCGTTGCTGCAAGGTACGAGATGGAATACGGAACCTGAGAATGGCTGGAGAGTTGGATGTTGCTCCAGATGAGCGGAATTTGGAAGTAGACAACCATGAGAATGCCGAATTCGTCAGTAGCAGCAGCCTGTCAGCCCTAGGGATCGCACATGCCCTTTCTGAACATTGAGCCTGTAACGAGGGGAAGAGTTCCTCGTATTCTTCAAACGAGTTGAATGACGTGGATAAATTCTGCTGCGTCCGCGTGATCAGCTTCCACAAGCGACGGGCTGGCTGAGCTGCTGCCACGTGCCAAGATGCAAATGCTCCCATAAATGATGTAAGCATCACCTAATGTCTAAAATAGTAGTGTTCTGCATGATTCACAATAAGCAGTGCGGCGCTAACGAGGGCCGCGGTGTTCTGGAATTTAGAACCCCGCTTCAAGCACCCAGAAACGCTACAGCGTTTGAAATTCTGGTCACTGTTTCTGACACGCACCCTGATGAAATCCATGGCGGACAAACAGACTCCTCCATCCTCAGAAACGCGAAGTGATGAGATCGTTATGATGCAGAGAGGCCAGTTACCAGATTTCAGTTAGTCCGATAGAACTTAGAAGCGCAGCCGGTTTAGATTCACGTAACGGCAAAACTAGTGAAAGGCCACTCGCTGCGGGATTCGGGTTAGTTTCTTCGCGATTCGAGTCAGAATTTGGTTCGGTGTGTCTGGCGACACGTACAGACTCGCTCAGCGATAGGCGGAAAGAAGCTTCGAAGCTTGCAGAAGCAATCTACTTTTTTTTTACCGCCGGTTAACCACGGATTCAGACTCGTGGCCTGGCTCGTCGTTGCATTAATCGCCAGCGACGATGAAGGCTTCTCTGACGACATGTACGATCGCATGACTTACCTCCCTCGGTTGATCAATCATTGCTGAATGTTGGCTCCTGTGCTGGTCATTCATCACCCATCAGAGCCTTCACGTAGAACCTTGTTCCTTGGGCAATTCAGTTCGTTAGCTTCCTGTTTCTCACCCGGTTTCCGGCGTTTCTTCTCGCCTTGATAGCTTCGTCCATAGCAGTTACTCTCATGCTTTCGGTGCTTTCACCGTTCGGGTTTCGTGCCACCTTTGATATGAACCTGACGCGGAGAATGTCGATCATTCACTTCAACAGCGAATCCGTGTTTCCCGTTCTAATAAACCAGCGGATCGTTGTGATCTGGCAGACTAGGATTTGCCGTTCTTTACGTTCTCTTGGACTATGCTTCCCTGACATTCCTATATCCTCTCCGAAACCACTTCCTGTGTTCATCAGACACGGAGCTCTCGGATCTCGCGTCCTGTTGCACCTCTGGAATGACCCAGCGTTCCCCTTTCCCCTTTCCCATATGATTTTCAAAATTGAACTTCGTGATTCAACAGACACGGAGTTGTCGGACCTCACGTCCTCGCTGGCGGATGGCTCACCGGAGGTTCAGCAGGCAGCCGTGGATGCACTCAAGTCCATCGCCGCAGTGTGAGTCTGCGTTGCGGTGTATTCCTCGCCCTGGCTGTGTCTGATATGGTGTGTATCGACTAAAAAATCTCCAGAAAGCTCGCCGGAGGTTCAGCAGGCAGCTGCGGACGCGTTCAAGTCCATCACTGCAGTGTGAGTTTGCGCTAAGGTCCCCCCTGGCGGCACTCAAACCCCCCTGGCTGTTTCTAACGTGGTTCGATTCACTCACAATACACTACATGGCTTGTGCCGGAGGCCCGGAGGTTCAGCAGGCAGCCGTGGATGCGCTGGAGTCCGTCGCCGCAGTGTAATTCTTCCTCTCTAACTTCAGCTCATCCTCGCACCCACGTACTGTCACAGGGTGTTTTGTCGTAGTCTCGTTTCCGTTAGTGTCACGTGCGGCTGCTAATGTCCTCCCTGTCCTTGCTGCCGCTCCCAACGTCCTCCCTCAATCCTCCATCTCCTTGCATGTTCTCATCTGTACCTGACCTGACATGGGTCCTGTTTGCCCGCAGTAACCCCAAGCTCGTTCTGCTCTTCTGCTCCGAGCTTCTCCAATCCGGTCAGGTAAGCTGCCAGAAAAAGCGCACCATGGCATTCACGCCATCCACCTTGTCACACCCATCCCTCCTCACACCCATCCCTCCTCACACCCATCCCTCCTCACACCCATCCCTCCTCACACCCATCCCTCCTCACACCCATCCCTCCTCACACCCATCCCTCCTCACACCCATCCCTCCTCACACCCATCCCTCCTCACACCCATCCCTCCTCACACCCATCCCTCCTCACACCCACCCCCCTTTTCAGAGAGCCAGCCTGTAGTGGTCCCCACCTTAGCTTCCTCAGCACCATGAGATACGGCTCTTCTCTGTCATCGCTGCCACATCAGCACGCTCATATCTGTCTCCTACCATCATTGCTTCTAATTTCTTTCCATTTGCGCACTGCAATCCCCCTTTCCTCCCCTCCCTCCCTTCCTCTTGGGGCCTTCCCGTTCGCCCCTGCCTCCCCCATCCCCTTCCACCCTCAGAGCACCAGCCTGTGGTGGTCGGTGCCTCAGCTGCCGCAGCACCACAAGACCAACCTCTTCTCCGTCATCTCAGCGTATCCGCATCAGCACGCTGAAATCTGTCTCTTCTATGCTTCTGGCTGACTTGCGTGCTTGCACCCCCCTCATTTCCCCCTCAGAGCACCAGCCTGTGGTGGTCGGTGCCTCAGCTGCCGCAGCACCACAAGACCAACCTCTTCTCTGTCATTGCCGCCGCCGTCACTGCGTTCATACCCGTATCATTTCCTGTCTTCCATGATTTTGGCTCCCTTTCTTCTTGCATGCCTGCACTCCCCCTGCTTCCCCCCTCAGAGCACCAGCCTGTGGTGGTCGGTGCCTCAGCTACCCCAGCACCACAAGACCAACCTCTTCTCCGTCATTGCTGCTTCCATCAGCTCCCTCACTCGCCAGCAACACTCCGCTGCAGTTGCTGCTGCAGCAGCAGGAGGATTCTCAGCAGCAGGAGCAGCAGGAGCAGGAGGTGCAGGAGGAGCAGCATGGGGGACAGTAGCAGCAGCGGGTGGGGTGTCAGCAGAAGGTGCAGGAGTGGGGATGGGTTCAGATGGGGGGGGAGGGGTGTCGGATCACACCTTGCTGGTGCAGAGCATGAAGTTGGCATTGGCAGAGATGCAGGTGTCAGGGCGATCAGGCACAGGCAGCGCTCAGGTGCGTTGAAGCTGGACACACGTGTGGAGTTGTCTATACTACGTGCTGGTGCTGGTGCAAATCAGAGCGTCAAGCTGGCGCTGGTGGAGATGCAGGTGGCAGGCCGATCAGGCACTGGCAGCGCCCAGATACGTTGAACTTGGACAGGTCGTGGAAACATCCCATGTGCTCGTGCGAATCAGACCGTCTCTCCTCTCCTCCATGCCTCAATGCCTCTCTCTTCCTCTTATCTCTCCTCCCGTTCCCCTTCCTCCTTCCCCCTTTCCCCCTTCCTCTTCACGCTTTTCCCCTCCGCATTGTGCTCCATACCCCCATGGCATGCACGATGCAGGACATTGGCTCGCCTCTGAACGTGGCTGTAGCATCTGTCATTACGGCTGTAGCAGCTGCGTCCACTGCACTGGTAATTCCCTGCCCATCATGCTACTCTACACCACATGCTGTGTCTTTTTTTGGGGGGGGGATTTAGGGGTTGGGGTCACTCCGTCTCTCACCATCCACTGTTTCTTAAGCAGCATGTGGGTTGACTCAAAAGCAGCTCTTGCATTCCTGACCCGCATTCAAGCTGATTGCCATCCATCTCTGCGGCTCTGCCTGCCACATGCCTTTATCTCTGGCTGCCACGTGTATCCATTTCTGCCTGCCACGTGTGCAGGCTCTGGATGAGGTCTTCTGTGTGCCACAGCCACCGCTGCATCTCATTGCCGATGCCTTTGGGCAGATGGCCAAGAATAGACGTGAGTCTTTATATTCTTCTTCTTCATTTTCCTTATCTGTAGGAATCTAAACGTTGACCCACCCAAGCTGCACCATCTCACTCGCTTCCTTTGTCCCTTCGTCACTACACCATCCACATCCACATTCCCCCGCATCCGTTTTTCAACCTACCCAGCGCATATCCTCTCCCACTCCCCATTTCCGCCCCTCTCCCCATATCCAGCTGCTGTTTTCCGGAGGGCTATCTGGCCCTTTTGTAGGCACCTCAAGAATGGTACGCTGAGGAAGATTCTGTCACAGCTGCTGACAAAACAAAACACAATTCTTTCTTCACCTCTCTACCTGTAATCTCCACCCCCCTCCATCCATCCCACATTCCTCCAGCTGTCGTCTTCTGCGCCATGTGGTCGAGTGTGCTGTGGGATACTGCCCCACAGCTGCTCACAAAACGAAACAGCATGCTTTCTTCCCCTCTCCCCACTGCCCCCTGATGCGTCCCTTCGGTTATGCCTCTCCCTGATATCCAGCTGCCGTATTCCGCGCCGTGTGGCCAAATGTGCTGAGGAAGATCGTCCCACAGCTGCTCACAAACGAAAGCACGATGTTTTTTTCTCTCCCCCGGGAATCCCCTCCATCCCACAACACATGCAGCTGCTGTGTTCCGTGCCGTGTGGCCGAATGTGCTGAGGAAGATCGTCCCACAGCTGCTGAGTGTCACTGAGACAACGAAACACGTCTTTGCGGATGGTGAGGGTGAATCGATGCTCCTAGCAGCAACCTACTTGTTATATGAACTTCCACGTTTTGACTCCTGATTCTCAACTCCCCAGTGCTAGTTCCCGAGTTGGTTTCAATTCCTAAATTCCAACTCCCACGTATCATCCCCCATCCGGTCCGCATGTATCAACTCCAATCCCATGTTTCAATCTCCTTCCCACGTGTGGTCTCCCACGTGTCTAACATCCACCCACGTTTCAAATCCCGCCATGTTATTCACATGCCATGCCAGCGTTCGCCCACTGGTGCAGGGCATTCACGCATGGGCAAGACATGGCTGTGGTGCTGGCGCTGCCTGGGCATTCACCCACCTCTAGAGCACGGCAATGCTTGATACGTTCCCCCTCCTTTTCCCCTCCCCGCCCCCATGTCACTAACCTACCCCACCTACCACCCCAGCGATTGCCCACTGGTGCCGGGCATTCACCCACGGGCAAGGCATGGCTGTGGTGCTGGTGCTGCAGGAGAGGCGACACAGGGAGGGAGGAGGGGAGAGAACTATGAACCAAGTACCTCTAACCCCTATCCCCCTCCCCGTCTCCCTGTCCCCCTCCCCGTTCCCCTGTTCTCCTCCTCAACCCCATGTCACCTCCCCACCCACCTATCTGCCACCACCCAGCAATCACCCACTGGTGCCGGGCATTCACTCACGGGCAAGGCATGGCTGTGGTGCTAGCGCTGCAAGAGAGGCGAAACAGGGAAGCAAGAGGGGAGGGGAATCAGGAGGGCCAAGCGCCGTCGGATGAGCTGCGGAATATCCCATGGACGGCTGAAGATTGGGAGGAGTCTGTGTGAGTCTTCTTGAGATGTCTCAATATGAGACTGTGAGTGTGAGCTGCACCTGATGTTTGGGTTCTTCTTTCTGGATGAGTTTACATGCTGGGTTTGGGAGTGTGCTCCTGTTTTCCCCATCTCACTCTTAAATTACACTCTAACTCGCTCCCTAAATCGCATTTCATGTGTTTCCTTACTGTGCCGCCTTCCATTCCTCTGCATCGCCCCTTGTGTCCCTCCCAGCGCCCTCCTCCAATCTGCGTTTGACCTTTTTCTGCAGCGCTGGCTCCTCTCAACCTCCTCACCTGTAAGCCCCACACACTCTACCTTTGCGTTGTTACCCTGTTACCAGTTGTATCTGCATCCCGCTGTCTGCGTCTATGTCTCTCCCTGCACGCTTCTGCAATCTGTGTTCGATCTTTTCTGCAGCGCTGGCTCCTCTCAACCTCCTCACCTGTAAGCCCCAAACTCTGTACCTTCCCGTTGTTACCCTGCGTTAAAATGTTCCAGGCAGCCTGTTGACCTGCATCCCTGTGCCTCCTCCAAACTACTTTTGAGGATTCTTAGAAGTGATTCCTCCATCCACCTTCCCCCTTCCCCACCAGGCCCACCTGGCCACAACCATTGCCTTGGCAGAGTTGGTTGGCGTTTCTGGTGCAAGAGAGCTACATGCTTGAAGTCTCTCACACCCCGCCTCCTGCATACCTCTTTCTTCCCTCCGACCCTCCACTCTCCCGCCCCCCACCAGGCCCGGCTATCCACAGCCAAGGCCATGGCGGAGATGGCGTTTCTGCTGCAGGAGAGCTACCTGCGTGAATCCCCACACGAGCACCCGCTTCTCCTGCATGCACTCCACTCTCTCATTCCCCCCACCAGGCCCGGCTATCCACAGCCAAGGCGATGTCAGAAATGGCGTTTCTGCTGCAGGAGAGCTACCTCCGATCCATGCTCAGTGCTCTGCTGCCCGCCCTTCGCTCCCTGTGAGTGTGTGTCATGCTGCACCGTGTAAGTGTGGTTGCGAGTTGTGTAGTTTATGCCTCTGCCTTCATGCCTTTTGCTACCTCCCCCCATACTGTTCTTCAGATACGGCAAGGAGCCAGAGGAGTATCAGCACGTACATACATGTTACAGACAGCCTCGGTACCCTTTTAAGACCGCTCCTGGTCGGCAGCCCAGATCCAGGCACAGACTCGTGACTCACCGAAGAATTTCCCCCTTCTTTCCTTTTCTCAGGTACGGCAAGGAGCCAGAGGAGTATCAGCATGTACGCGTTACAGACAGCCTCGGTACCCTCTTAAGAGCGCTCCTGGGCGGCACCCCAGACCCAGACGGGCCTTCCGAGGCACAAATTGCCAGCAGCAGTGGTGGCAGTGGCAGTGGGGGGCCTGAGCATGGGCTACCTGGGGAAGAACAGGCTTTATCTGGGGCAACAAGAGAAGCAGATGCTAGCGTAGCAGGTGTTGCTGCTTCCACTGCTGCTGCTGCCAGTGCAGCTGCGATTCTTGGGCGACCCAAACAAGGGATCAATCCAAAGGTGCGAATTCGGTGGTAGCAAGGGATGGTAAGGGGTAGTTCAGCCATTGCTGAATGATGACAAATCCTAGAAACAGCTATCTTGAACATCCCAATCATATGGGCGCTGCTCCCCACGTTGAAATTCCTCCTCATCCTAATAGTCCATTTTTGTTGAGGCGGATTTTGAGAATCCTGAAAATCACCCTGATAGCCCACTACATCAGCCGGCAACAATTCGATCTAAGTTGCTCGTAAGAAGTCTAAAACATAACTCCTTCATTCATCCCCATCCATCCCAGGTGCTGCTCCCCACTCTGGAGTTCTTGCTCGCCCTGATAGGCCATTACACAAGCCGACTAAGCTCCAACGCGGCTGATATCCGCATTACCATCACTGTAAGGAAAACTCGTTGCTTCAAGTAAACCTTGTCAGTATAACCTGCGTTGCACTACTTTCAATCATAGGCCTGGTTTCATCGACTCAAGAGTGTTTGGAGCCCAGGGTGCTGGGTTCATCGCCACTTTTGCCACGTTCGTCGCTTTTACAGCGTTCACCCCTGCTGCATTGCATCCCTTGCGTGCATCATTCGGATCTGATTTCTCCGCCAGGGTCTCAACACGGCCATGAGGTGTGCCATGACCATAACAGAGGCCTTCCCCCAACACGCAAGCGCCTTCGCCATCCAGGTGAGTGGACAGTTCAAAAACGCGCAGTGGTCACACAGCTCACTGTTTCCTCCGTCGCTTCGAGCGTGTGGATCAGGCAAGCAGGAGCATGCACTGGTGGAACCATGAAGGAGTTGAAACCTGAAGGCAGGCCCACAGTGCAGTGTTGCTCTCTCCCCCTTCCTGTTATTGCAGAGGGCGGCTCACAGAGGAGTGGACGTGCGGATCAGGCAGGGGGCTCTGGTTCTGCTGCGCCGCATCGTGACCAGGTGTGTGCGAGGATGTTTCTTCCTTCCCTTTCCCTCAAAAGTGGATGCATGGCAATGGGCTGGGATGGGCTTGTGGCCTAGGCAGGGGGCTCTGGTTTTGCTGCACCGCATTGTGACCAGGGGACCATTTAACAAGTATTGCACTGCTTGCTTATTGTATGCTTCCCTGCATGCAGCATGCCGCAAGTGTGGGCGGGCAGCGAGGAGCAGTTCTGCCAGGGAGCAATCTACATCGTCCAATCAGAGGAGGCCATGGAGAGCGCGCAGGACACGTCAGCACAGGATATTTTCGCTCTGGGGTGGGTTCAGGGACGCTCGTCCCTTATCCACCCGTCCCTAGGCCTCCCATCTACCGATCCCTCCAGCCCTCCAGGGGTTCCTGCTAGTTCTAGAGGGGGAGAGTGGGGGGGAGCGAGGGAAACAGGAGGAGGAGCAGGAGGGGCGGGAGTTGGGTCGAGCAGTGGTGGAGGAGGGATGGGGGGAGGGGCAGTCGGAGGAGGAGGAGGAGGATCAACAGTGGGAGGAGGTGGGTCAGGAGCAGCAGGAGGGGTGTCGCCGATTGAGGCAGTGCTGCTGCGGCCAGTGGGAGAGGTGGAGGTGGAGTGGACCTCTGCTTGCTCGTCCCTGCTGGGCGCTGCTGTGCTTGTGCCCCGGAATACACCGTGTGACGAGACTCGCAAGGAGATTGTGCAGGTGTGTCTCTAGTCTAGGTGGTTCAGTAGCAGCTCTGCGTGCTCGTCCCTGCTGGGTCCAGTTGTGCCTGCGGGCAGGAATGTGCGATGCCATGTGATGAGACTCGCAAGGAGATCGTACAGGTAGTGTCTCAGTTGGCTCATTTGAAGCTCTGCCTGTGCGTCCCTGTGGGCTGGAAGCAGAGGTTTTGCAGCAGCCGATAACCTTCTTTTTTTGTTGCTTCGTGCTCCTTGTCTGTCCCCATTGCTCCTCAGCTCCCACCTTTCTCTTCCTTCCTGCCCCATGTTCCCCATCTCCCTCCTCAGCTCATCCTCGCCATGGCAGCCACCAATCAGCTGCTGCCAGCTCACCCAGTCCCCGCCTATCACCTCCTCTTCTTCCTTATCTCACAAGCCGGTCGCTCCTTCCGCCCTTCCCCGTCCTCCTCCCACCCGTCCTCCTCCTCTCACTCCTCACTCACTTCTGCCACTGATAGCAGTACCAGCAGCAGCAGTAGTGGCAGCGGTAGCAGTGGGGCGGGTGCGAGGGAGGCAAGGAGGAGGGCGGTCGGAGGGGGAGGGGAGGAGGATCCACTGTATCACGTGTGCAGCAAGGGGCTGAGTATCCTTGCTAACACCGTACATACCATGGATGTAAGTCACCCACTTATAGACCGTTTTCCTTCGGCATTTTTTGGGCTCGTGACTGCTCACAATCAACAGCATCCCTTGTCCTCATCCTCCCTTCTTGGATTTTCAGCATGTGTCTATCTGCTCTACCTTTCCTAACTTGTCTCCCACTTAGCAGCAGTCGCACTCACTGTTTCCCTTGTGCTTTCTTCTTCCTACTGATTCTGCAGGATGTGTTGCTGCTGGCTCTGCTGCGATCGCTGGTGAAGTCAAGCCTCGACTGCATCCTGCCGCTGGTAACCACATCGTGCTGCTGGTAACTGCATTCTGCCGCTGGTAACCGCATCAGGCACTGGTAACTGTATTCGGCCACTGGTAACCACAATATGCCACTGGTATGGTAACTGCATCCTGCCATTTCTGGGACCTCCGTCCCCCACTGTTCTTCTGGGTACGCTCAAACACTCCAATGCCGCCTAATTGCAATTGGCCCTTCAATGTTAATCGAATTGACCGCATTGGTCGAAAGAGGAGTGACTTTTCCACCACTTACATCACTGTATGTTGAGTTGTATTCCGACTCTTATCTGCTGCGTCCCATACTTTCCCTGCCCCCCCAACCGCAGGTCCTGCAATGCTTATCAACAATCATCGCTCGAAAGACATCCTCTGCTGCGCCTGGAGCGGGGGACGAACCTGGGACTGGAGTGTCAGCCGGCGGAACAGGCGGGGCCGAGGGGACGGCCAGAGGCTATGGGAGTGAGGGAGGGAGTGCAGGTGGTGGTGCAGTGGGTGCAGCTGAAAAGGTGGAGAGTGCGGAGAGGGAGATTCGGGGGCTTTCCCAGTTCAAGCTGCCGCCTCTGGAGGTACGATGGGTGTGGATCTAGTAGGCTTTTGAGTCGACTCGTGAGCCACCCCGAGGTACTATGAGTGTTAACCATCTGGTATATCCAGTGCGTGATTTGTAGGTTTGTTCGAACTTCGGACAGTAACTAGCACTCTGCACCGTGGTCAGTGGTGCCACATCGTTTTCAAAATGGAGTTGCTGTCCGTTGCCCTGTCTCTTTCTGTCCCTTCTTTCCAGGAGCTTTTACCTCGGTCGCTTATTCTTCTCGGAAGCGACAAGACACTCACTTCTATTTTCAAGTATGGAGTTGTTGTCCGTTGCCCTGTCTCTTTCTCTCCCTCATTCCCAGGAGCTTCTGCCTCGGTTGCTTATTCTTCTCGGAAGCGACAAGACACTCACTGATGCACCGAGGAGGATGAGAATCTTCCAGGTAACTTCCTTTTCTTGTATGGCCTCTTCTCCTGTATGACTAGGCTTGGCATTGTAGTAGATTCCAGGTTACCCTGCCTTTATTTTGTAACCAGTTACTTTCATGGAAACCAATTGCCTTTGGCTCAACCCTCAGCAGCTTCTCCTATTGGCAGGAAATGCTTTTGAGTCTGCTTTTGAGTTTGCTTTTGAGAAGACTCAAGAGCAGACTTTTCATGAAAACCAATTTCTTTTTGGTCAACCCTCAGCAGCTTTTCCAATGGGCAGAAAATGCTGTTTGCCCAAACATGCATCACAACCAACAACTCCCCTAATCTCTTCCTACTTGATTCGACTTTGGTGGATCTATTTGATGTTTCTGTGTTGATGGGTCACAACCTGATACTTTCGCAGGTCCTAGAGTTTGTTCGCCAAAGCACGCTGCCTTCTGCCTTTGAGTCTCTCGCTCTCGACGTAAGCCCACGCTCGCCTCCTCTTTTACCTGAACCCAAAGCCCTGTTCTCGACACGTAGCATGATTCACCTGTGGCTGGTTTTCGAGTTTGTTCGTCAGAGCACTCTGCCTTCTGCCTTTGAGTCACTCGCTTTCGACGTAAGCCCACGCTCGCCTCCTCGCTATTTTCCGTTCTTCACACCCGCCCCTTCTTTATGAGATTGAGCACTTGAAGCACATAGCAGGCTTTCCCTCCAGTCCTCCTTTCTCCCCCCTCTTTCCCCCTTCCCTCCTTCCCACCATCCCACCAGATCGAGCACATGACGCACTTAGCAGAGCGCCTGGAGAGAAAACAGTCTGTGGAGCGCAGAAGGGCTGTTTGGCAGGACGCTACCATGAAGGTAAGGAGGAAGCAGGTGAAGTTTTCTTGCAGGTCGTTTCAAAGAATTATGAGGAATGATGTGCAGAAGAGCTGTTTGGCAGGACGCCTCCACGAAGGTAATGAGGAAGCACGTGACTTGCCGATCAGATCCAGCACATGAAGCACTTAGCAGAGCGCCTGAGGAACAAACAGTCTCTAGAACGCAGAAGAGCTGTTTGGCAGGACGCCACTACGAAGGTAATCCAATCCTAGCCCTCCAGAGCACACAGTGTGAGAAAACACTTCGGAACAAGAGATCGTTTTGCAGGGTGCCACTATGAAGGTAATGAACAGAACAGGTGATCTGGTCTGGTTTGTCTCCTGGTCAGGAGGAGCATGGGGCGTCTTTTGGTTTGGAGTGTGTAGTACCTGTGCTGGTTTCCCCTCAACCCAATCTCCCCATATCTCTCAAGTGGCTTTCGAATTCACGAGAAAGGGAGAGTGTCATTGTACATGGCGGGAAATGTTATGCTGTGCTGAAACTGTTTGTTCCCTTTTCTCTGTGTGCCCTTTTCCCTGTGCTCTTTGGTTTCATGGGGCACGCCACCAAAACCAGCTATTCGTGCTCTCATTCCAAAATCTATCGTACTCTCATCTCTCGGCCACAGACACTCACGAGGGCTGTTGGCGTGGTGAACCATGCCGACTGGACTGCACAGAGGGGCGGACGGCTTTGCTGCCAGGGCTGTACACATTGAAGCAAGCCTACTTCTCTCACAAAATCCCCTCTTTTTGTTGCCACAGATGCTCAAGAGGACAGTAGACGCGGTGAACCATGCCGACTGGACCGCGCGGGTGTGTGACGGCTTTGCGAGCTCTTCTAATGCGTGGCTTCTATGCTCTCTCTCAATTTGTGTCCGCAGATGCTCAAGAGGGCAATAGACGCGGTGAACCATGCCGACTGGACTGCGCGGGTGTGTGACGGCTTCGCGAGCTTCTAACACGTGGTTTCTATGCTTTCTCTCAATTTGTGTCTGCAGATGCTCAAGAGGGCTGTCGACGCGGTGAACCATGCCGACTGGACCGCGCGGGTGTGTGACGGCTTTGCTGCCTTCTACCTGTGGCCGTGTATGGACGCAAGTCAACACATCCTGCTGCACAGGTGGGTCCCTGACTTTCATAGCATGTGTGTGTGTGTGCGTGTGCGTGTGTGGCACACGTTCTGCATTGGGTGGGTGTGTGACGGCTTTGCTGCCTTCTACCTGTGCCCGTGCATGGACGCAAGTCAACACATCCTGCTGCACAGGTGGGTTATTATTCTGATCAGGATAAGCATACGAACATGCACACGTGTGCGTGTGTGGGTGTGCATGCACAGGTGGGTCACTAGAAGACTCAATCATTCCATATTAGACCACGCCTCTCGCTTTTCACTTCCTCTCCCCCCTCTCCTCTTCTCCCTCCTCGTGTAATCCCCTTTTTCTATTCCTCTCCTCCCTCACGATAGGTGCATGGGAGCGCTAGTCCAGCGGGCAGAAGACGCCGTCTTCATTCAGCGCCGGGTGGCGCTCATGTTTGACTCTGCCACGCCTCTCGCTTTTCACTTCCTCTCCCCCCTCTCCTCCTCTTCCTCCTCGTGTAATCCCCTTTTCCTATTCCTCTCCCCCCTCACGATAGGTGCATGGGAGCGCTAGTCCAGCGGGCAGAAGACGCCGTCTTCATTCAGCGCCGGGTGGCGCTCATGTTTGACTCTGCCGTCCTCTCTGACCCGCTCGACCGCCACGCCCTTGCCATGGGGCTTGGGACTGTGAGTGGGCCTTGGGACTGTGAGTGGGCCTTGGCACTCTTACGCTCCACCTTACCATTCACGCTCCGCCACTCTGCCATCCTCTCGGACCCTCTCGAATCGACCACCACGCCCTCGCCATGGGGCTTGGCACGGTGAGTCTCACCTTTCCTCTACTCGGTCCTCTGCTCTGCATATTTGCAACTTAATGGCCCCTCTCATTGACTCTGCCGCCCTCTCCGACCCTCTCAAATGGCACGCTCTTGCCATGGGGCTGGGCACAGTGAGTAGGTTTTGGCACTGTGAGGGCATGGTAGAAAAGGACTTGATCGCCCCTCACATCGACTCTGCCGCCCTCTCTGACCACCTCGACCGATGCAATCGTCATGGGGCTTGGCACGGTGAGTCTCGCCTTTCTTCTACTCGGTCCTCTGCTCTGTATGTTTGCAACTTGATGGCCCCTCGCATTCACTCTGCCGCCCCTCGGACCCACTCGACCGCCACGCCCTTGCCATGGGGCTTGGCATGGTGAGTCACTTTGGTTTCCAGCACTTCTGTTCTTAACCGTACTCCTCTCCTCTTCTCTCCTCTCCTCTCCTCTCCTCTCCTCTCTCCTCTCCTCTCTGCTTTCCTCTTGTGGATATGGCCACAGACGCGCTCATCCTCTGAAACAACCTGCCCTCCTGCTATCTGCTCTCCTGCCCTCCTGCAGGTAGCTGCTGTTCATCTGGATGTGGTACTCGCAACTTTAGAGCAAGTCCTAGACTCCTACTCTGTCTCCAATCTGCAACGGTAAGTTCTCTTGAGTCCCTCTCCTTGTCAAAACATGATCACAGGGTCACAATCCTGTTCTTTTCCCTCAAGGCACGTGGCTGTAGTAGACTCGTTCCAAAAGAAAAACGGAAACAGAAAGAACGTGCTTTTTCCTTTCTATCCTCTGCCCATGTTTCCCTTGCCCGCAGCATCTATCAGTTTGTCAAAACCCTCGGTTCTCAATCAGCTATCTTCATCCCCAAAACCTCCTCCTCTTCCGCCTCTTCCGCCTCCTCCTCCGCTTCCTCTGCCCCCAAGTTCGCTCTCCCGCCTCTCGAGCGCCTATTCAAGAAGGAGACTGCCACGTCAGCAGCTGCTGACTTCCTCCGGGACCCGCTGATGCATGATGACGTGTGCGCTGTGCTGGCGCTGACGTACCGGTACACGGTGGCGTTTTCGGAAGCTTCCATGGTGGATTCGCGAATCAGAACACTGCTGGTCAGTTGGCTGCACATGGGGGGTTATGTAACACATATTGTGGCACTTGATTTTAACGCGCAATATGAATCATATTTTGTTTCTCGTCCTTCTGTCCCCTTTTCTGCTACTCTCCCCTTCTTGCGATGCAAGGAAGCCTCTGCTATGGCTGGAATAATGTCAGTCCCCTAAAACTCGCCTCTGCTGCTCTCTTTCTTCTTGTGCCCTGTTTTGCCCACTTGCTCTTGCCCCTCCCCTTCCCCTGTCTATGCCGGACGCGAACGTGTTTGCTCCCTCAGTAACATCCCTCCAAGCCAAGACAGCCGTGGTTCAATCCATCCTTACCCTCGCCTCTGCTGCTCCATTCTCTCGCACTCTTCTTCCCTTCCCACTATACACATAGGATGCAAATGTGTTCGCCCCGTTGGTTGCAGTGACATCCCTTCCAGCCAAGACAGCCGTGGTGCAATCCATCCTCACCCTCGCCTCTGCTGCTTTCTTTCCTCCGTTTGTTCGCACTGTCTCTCCCGTCCGCCCTTATTCCCACAGGATGCGAACGTGTTCGCCCCGTTGGCTGCAGTGGCGTCCCTCCCAGCCAAGACAGCCGTGGTGCAATCCATCCTCACACTCGCCTCTGTTGCTCTCACTGCCCCTCCATCCGCTCTCACCACCTCTCCACCGCCCCATACAAGTGCTTACTCCGCAGCCCATTCACTACTGGTCCCTTCAGTTTCAACAACTCATGTACCTTCCTCCCTACCACAAACCACCGCCATCAATCTCAAGAGTCGGGATGATCTAATCAGCTGCTGCCTCCATTTCCTCCCACCCATCCCTTCTCCAACCCCTCTCACGCCACCCTCGTTATCCTCCTCCTCCTCTTCCTCCTCTACCCCCTCTGCTCTATCCACCTCCTCCTCCTTTACTTCACACGCTTCCTCTACTTCCTTCTTTCAGTCCCCTCTCGCTGCTCCTACTCCCATCTCTTTCCCCGGACCAACGAGCACCACTGTACCAGCTGCGGCCTCAGGCTCGGGTGTAGGCTCGGGCGCAGGCTCGGCAACAGGTGGTGTTGCTGCGCCGAGGTTTATAGTGAGAGTGAGGGGGACTGGTGGCGCGGATGGGGGCACAGGGGGAGCGGGAGGGGGAGGGGGAGTGGGTGGAGGAGGGGGAGGGGGAGCGGCATACGTGTTAGGGGAGGAGGAGGTGCGGCTTCAGATGGCATGTGTGCGGGCATGCACGGCCCTGATTCAGTCTCATCCGCAGCTCACTTCAGCCGTTCGCAAGAGTGTGCAGGTGAGCAGAGGGGCGGGTGAGCAAGCATCGGTGCTGGTGAGGTCAAGTTCGGGTGATCAGCACTGGTTCCTCTCAGTGGCTCTCTCAACCCATCTCGATATCTCTTACTCTTATCTCAATGGCTCTCAACCTCTCTCAACCATTTCCAACCTCTTCCAGGCGGTCACTCCACTGCTGTGCATTGACGACTCACTGTTGGCTGGTCGTGTGAAAGGAGGAGAGAGAGGAGTGGGGATAGGTATAGTGGATGTGGAGGGGAGGGTCGGAGGAGAGGAGAGGGAGGAGCATGAGGGTTCAAGTTCAAGTGGATCAGATAGTGAGAGTGACTGTGGCGAGGATGGGGAGAAAGTGAGGAGGAAGGAGAGAGGGGGAACGAGGAGGGCGAGGAGGACGGGTGGAAGGGAGAGGAGCAGAAGGCGGCGACAGCTTGGTCCATTGGCAGTCAGTGTCATCTCTCTGCTGTGTAGCGTGCTACAGATGAGGTGCGCTGATGCAGATGAGGTGAGCTGCTACAGATGAGGTGAGCTGCTACAGATGAGGTCAGGTGCAGATGAGACGGGTTACGAGATTAGGTACAAGCATCCGTTTGCATTTTTTTACCCACAGAGAATGCAGTCAGCTTTAAAGGGTTACATGTGAGGTGAGCTGCTACGGAGATTACAAGAATGAGTGCAAGCATCCTTTTGCAGTTTTTACCCATAAAGAGTACAGTCAGATGAGATGGGCTACGAGAATGAGTTCAAGCATCCGTTTGCATGGCTTGACCTACACAAAGTTGGAGTCACCCGTAGGAGGACTAAGCTGTCAACCTCTCTTGTGTATCCTTTTCTCTTCTTGCAGCAATGTGGATAGCAAGGAAGAAAAGGAGCAACTGCAGGTTATGCTCTCCCTCCTCCGCCCCCTCCTCTCCCTCCTCCTCCCACCCTCTCCCCCTCCCCAGCCCTCCTCCCTCCTGCACTCGGCCCTCAACCCCACCACTCTCCTATCCTCCGCGTTCCCTTCAAACACCACTCCACCTAGCAGCACCCATCTCAACCCAGCAGCACCACTTCAAACCCAAGCCGGCAGCAAGCCTGGGAGTAAGCCCAGCAGCAGACCTTCCAGCAAACCTAGCAGCCAACCAGGGAGCCCTGGGCCTCGGACAAGAGGAAAATCAAACCTGGGGGGTGCAGCAGCAGGAGGGGAGAGAGGAGGAGGAGAGGAAGGAGCGGGGGGAGCAGAGGAACAGGAGAGAGAAGCTGGAGAGACGGAAGCAGCATTATCAGCAGTGGAGGTAGTGGCATCGGCGCAGCAGCGGGTGCTAACTGCATACCTGGCAGTGTGCGCTCAGTTCCATGCGCTGGCACTTGGGGAGCAGAGGCTGCCGGGCTGTTGTAAGGAGGAAGTGTCTGGCTTCATTGCGGCCAGCAGTGGTGGAGTGCGGTACACAGAAAAACAGCAAGGTAAGGCAAGGCGTGTGCTCTAGTGACAGCTTACCTAGCTGTGTGTGCCCAGTTCCATGCACTGGCACTTGGGGAGCAGGGGCTGCCGGGTTGCTGCAAGGAGGAAATGTCTGGGTTCCTTGCGGCCAGCAGCGGTGGAGTGCGGTACACGGAAAGACAGCAAGGTAAGGCAAGGCGTGTGCTCTAGTGACAGCGTACCTTGCTCCCGTCTGTCCATGCCAAGTAACTATAGATTCCCCTCAACGAACTCTCCCTGCTTCCTCCCCTCCTTCCCTCCAACCTCTCCCCCGTCTCAGAGCAACCCCCCCCAGCGCGATCCTCGCTCAATCTCGGGCATCACGTGGCTGTCGTTCTGCCATTCTGCGCCAATGCCGACCCCACACTGCAACTGCTTGGCTGCAAGGTACTTTTTGGGGAGTATATAAAATTCTTCCAAAACAATTTTATGCGCCAATGCTGCAAGGTCACCCTTTCCTCCCTCTTAAGCCCCTGCATGCCTCCCTGTCCTCTGCTTCCATCCACCTCCGCTGCTCCACCTCTTTCCTTCCTCTCGCTCTCCCTTCTCTTGCGCCTCGCCTTGAGTTCCAATCATCCTGCTCCCTGCCATTCCAATTTTCTGCCCATCTGCCCATCTGCCAATCTGCCATTCTACCATTGTATTAATCTGTCAACTTGCCATCCTGCCACCAACACCCTTCATCCCGCCAGATTGTTCTGTTGCTTCTGACCACAGCTGTCGCCCTCTCCTCTCCACCTGAGGCCTTCTGCGTTTCACCTGACAACCCACCTGAGGTTTCATCGAAACCAGCCCATTCCCCACCAGCCTCCCCCTCCGCCTCTCTGCCTGTCTCCACTCACCCTGACACCCACCAATTAGAGGAAACCACCAAAACCAGCAGTCAGCAGGAAGAGCAACCAGCAGCATCAACAGCAGCAGCAGCAGCAGCAGCAGCAGCAGCAGCAGCAGCAGCAGCAGCAGCAGCAGCATCAACAGCAGCAGCAGCAGCAGCAGCAGCAGCAGCAGCCGCCGCTGCTGCTGTTCCCAGCGCTGCTTCTGAGTCTCCGTCTTATTCCGCCTCTCAACCCACCCACGCTGCCCTCCTTGCTGCTCTGGAAGCCAAGGTCTCTGCATCAGCAGCGTCGCATCAGGTGGGGAAGCTTATATCGAGGATGGAGTGGGCGGTAGTGTGTGTGCATGAGGTGGGGTTGCTTGTAGTGGGGATGGTTTGGGCGATGCAATGTCATGCTTCTTCTGGTCATGCCAGCTCTTCCCTTGAACTAACCGTGTTAGGCACGTGAATTTTTTGAGAATTCTAAAAAAAACTCTGCCTCTTCCAATCATCCTGGCTCTTCCCTTGAAGTTTCCGTGTTAGTCACTTGGACTCTTTCAGTCTCTGAAGCGCAGCAAAATTAGGTGGTTATGGGGAATTCTCAAATACCGCCTGCATCAATCTAAAGCACACACACAGAGCAAGGCGAAATCCATGTGCTGTTGCATGTTGCCCCAACTCACCCTGTTGCCGCTCAACCCTCCTTGGCACTGCAGGGTTCGTCGCAGGGGGAGATGCCCGAGGGGCCAGAGGAGCAACGGACGTTGCTGTTTGATGCTGCTGTGGAGTGCGTTGCACATGTGCTGACGGCAGATGAGGTGAGGACACAATGTGAAGAAAATGGTGTGTGTGGCATCTGTTTCGTGTTAAAGAGGAGGTTGAGGAGTGACGGGCAGTGATGCTCGATGCTGCTGTGGAGTGCGTTGCACATGTGCTGACAGCGGATGAGGTGAGGGCGAGAGGGAGAACGTAAAGGAAATGAAGTATGTTCAAGAGAAGAGGTGGATGGGAGATGCAGGAACGCTGCTGTTTGCCATTGCTGTGGAGTGTGTTGCTGAGTTGACTTTTGAGTCGACTCGAGAGTCAACTCTGCTGTGGAGTGTGTTGCCCGTGTGCTGATGGCGGATGAGGCGGGGCGAGCAGTGTGCGGTGAAGGCTGGCTGAGGAGCGACGGGCATGTGTGTTATGTGCGTGCACTAGGTAGGTGACAGGGTAGCTATGGGCGGTGCTTTTTGCAGCTGCTGTGGAGTGTAGTGTCTTGCGCATGTGCTGATGACGGATGAGGAGAAGTAACGTGCAATGAGAGGGACTGATTTGTGTTGTGCATTGTCTGAGAGGTGCTAGAGGACCAATGTGCCCTGCGTTCAGGGTTCAGGGTTTTTTAAGTCATCTAAAACTGCTACACGAATCTTAGTTGTCCTTCAGTTGACGCTTCAGTTGGTCTAACATTTGATGGAGTGAGGAATAACGGAGAGATGAGCCGCATCATCAGTCCAGTCCTCGTGGTGCTGTGCCAGTACTTTTACTGACAGATGCGCCTGGTAACCATGTTACCACAAATTGAACTTGTTACCCCCTCTTTTCTCTCTCCCCCCAGGTGGCAGTGCTACTCCTGGCAGCAGACGCGTTTCTTCACATCACCTGCGCCGGCCACTCCCCCATCAGCAGCACCACCACCAGTTCAGCCACATCCGCAGCAGCATGGGAGAAATCACTGGACCAGGAACGGCAAGCTAGCAAGGCTGAAGAGGGAGGGTCCGATCACTTGCAGGGTGGCGCAGCAGCGGCAGCAGCAGCGGAGTGTGAGTACGTGGGGAGTGTGGTGAGCTGCTGCATGGGAGCAGTACTTCGAATTGTCTCCCTCAGAGGCCACCAGCTGCAGCAGCAGGGAGAATCCGAGGCTGAGGAGGGTTCGGTGCAGGAGGGGTCAAAGCAGCTGCTGCTGCAGGAACGGGAGGATTTGGAGCAGCAGGGCAGGGTGAGGAGGATAGTCGAGTGTATTGTTGCGGCGTCGCTTGGGTGTCACTACCAATCTGCCCGCGCGCCTGCCTTCGCTGCGGTACGTGTGCTTTTGCCTCACATAATTCGCAATCAATGGCAAGTTTGGTTGGAGGATTGATTGTTCCTCTGTGTTTGCGTGTGCGCTGACACAAAAGTGCCGATTTCTCCTCCTCGAACAAACCCTAACCCCTGGCAGGTCTGCTCTCTGGCAGCTGCCTGCGACCCCCCTGCCCTGTTCCGCTGCGTGCTACAACACGTGGAAGAAACTTCTGGGAAGCTGCCGGCCGTAGAAGAGCTTTTAGAGGTGCGATTGTTGGTTGGTGTAGGTGGGGGGGTATTGCAAAAGGGTGTGGTGCAGTGAAAAATGGTACCAAGATTGAAGCATCAGCTATGCAACCATTGTTACCAGTGCCTGCCACTTCTTCCCTGTGCCTCCCTGCCTCTCTCTGCAGGAAATTGCTCGGCACCCGTCTCTCGGCCCTCAGCTGTTCCACCTGCTCCTACCAAAGCTCATACCTGGCTTCGACCCTGTTAGCCTGGCTGAAGACTTGCATCACACAGCACAGCAACAAGCGCTGGTGCAGCAGCTAGGGAGTGAGCAGTCAGCAGCATCAGAAGAGGCTGGCGCAGAAGGGGTTCTTACAGAGGGGCAGCAGGTAGGGTCTGCTGCATCTGCAGCAGGGGAACAGGCACAGCTGGGGCGGGCTGTATCTGAGGCTGCTGCTGCCGGTGGTGCTGCTGCCGGTGGTGCTGCTGCTGCCGGTGGTGCTGCTGCTGCCGGTGGTGCTGCTGGTGGTGTTGGTTCTGCCACAGCTTCGCTCACCTTTGATCCAGCCGATACAGTTGCAGCTGCTATTGTTGCTGCTGCCTCAAATGCGGGAAGGGCAAGGAGTGCAGGGAGTGTGGTGGCTGCAGGGAAGCCCTTCATCTATTCCTCTGGCTCTAAGGCGGCCATCAGGACGCTTGGGTTGATGCTCAGGTGAGGGTTCTTGTAACACGATTGAAAAACAAGGGTGTAAGGAGTGTTGAGTGGGGAGTGTGGGAGGGTGGGGAGGGTGGGGAGTGTTGGTTGTGGAGTGTGGGGAGGGTGTGGCAGGTGGGGAGAGGTGGCAAGCACCCTTCTGCCAAACTCAACCAAGCAGCACGGCCCTACACCATCCTCACCGTCCACACGCTGCACCTGCTGCTCTGTGCTTTCGCCATTGATACCATCTGTGCCCTCCCCTTCCCTGCCCCCTCTTCGTCCCTCGCTGTCCCCCTTCCTACATCTCTCTCCCCTACAAGCATCCGTTGTCCGACCTCAAGCAAGCAGCACTACTCCACACAATCCCCACCGTCCACACGCTCCATCTGCTGCTCTGTGCTCTTGTAGTCAACACCATCTGTTCCGTCTCCTTCCCTCTCCCCCCATCTCTGTCCCTGTGCATCACCTCGTCTTTCAGGCACCCATCACCCAATCTCAAGCCAGCAGCCCTACCCTACACCGTCCCCACCGTCCACACGCTACACCTGCTCCTCTGCGCTCTTGCCATCGACACCATCGCTTCTCACCCCGAGGCTGCTCTCTCCTCCGAAGGCCCTCTCAGCAAGAGGGTCAACGATGCCATCACAGCAGCAGACGGAGGCCTCTGGTCCAGCGACCCTTTCCTGTGAGTTCAATGCTCTCGTGTGCCTTGTTCACACCAGCCACACAGCAATGCATCCAGAGGCAGGGAGGAGAGGCTGATCTTGCTCCCACCGCTTCCCACCACTGCTCTGCTCTCAGCAAGAGCATCAATGATGCCATTTTTGAGGCGCCTAAAAAATCAATGATGCCATCACAGCAGCAGATGGTCCAGCGACCCCTTCGTGTGAGTCCAATGTCTCTTGCTGCCCATGTACCGTGTTCACAGCATCACCACCACCACTGCCATGCATTCAACGAGGTATGGAGGTGAGGCTGCTCTCGCCCCCACCGGTTCTCTCAGCAAGAGGATCAACGATGCGATAACTGCACCTGAAGGAGGGCTGTGGTCCAGCGACCCTTTCCTGTGAGTCCCATGCCTACTTGTGCCTTGCTCTCAGCCCAGTTCTCAGCCTTGTTCTTGCGGGGATTTGGCTCAAGGCAAGCGTATGAAGTCACTTTAGTCAAGTGAATGGACCTTCTTTTGCTTCATTCCCTTCCGTCACTCTTTTTCTCGTATGCTCCTCCTTGCATCACCATGCAGGCTGGTTTATGGGGCTCTCCGCTCTGTCGCTCATTTCATCAGCCATCAGCCTCTAATCGAGGTACGCTTCTCATCATATGTATACCCAGTTGACTTTTGAGTCGACTCAGAAGACACTTCAGTCCAGCTTCTCATTATATGAAACCCCTCATCCACTCTCCTTTGAAACTCGACTTGTGTTCGATTATACCGTCTTCTTGTTCCCCTCTGTTTACTAAGGAAAAAAATCCCCATCCCATCTGAATTTTCACAACTTCGTCGGCACCCCTCCCCGTCTCCAGGCCCTCGAAACCTTTTCACCCGACAGCTTGCATGAGGAGGGAACAGCAGAAGGGGGTAGCAGCGAAAATGGGAGCAGCGGGATCGGCGTGACAGTGGGGCAGCTGTCTGTGCTGTGTGGACTAGTAGAGGCCCTTGTGGGGGCTATGCTGACTGTGGGAGAGCATGGGCACGGTGGTGAGGTGAGTGGGGGGAAGGGGAGGGGAGTGGAGTGACAGGGAGAGATATCCCTGGCAGGGGGATAGGACAGCTGTCTGTCGTGCTGTGTGGACTAGTAGAGGCCCTTGTGGGGGCTATGCTGACTGCGGGAGAGCAAGGGCACGGTGGTGAGGTGAGTGGGTGGGGGGACGGATGGAGGGGAGAAGGTAGAGCAGGATTGACGTGACAGTGGGGCAGCTGTCCGTGCTGTGTGGACTGGTGGCGGCCCTTGTGGGAGCCATGTTGACTATGGGAGAGCAGGGTGATGAGGTGAGCAGTGGATGAAGGGGAGAGGGGGGAGTGAGATAAACAGCAGTGCGCCAGCTATCAGTGCTGTGTGGGCTGGTGGCGGCCCTTGTGGGAGCCATGCTGACTGTGGGAGGGAGGGCATGAGGTACGTGGGGGTTGGGAAGGGTGAAGGGAGAGAAAGGGTTGTAAGAGAGGAGGAGTGATGGGCCACGCAGTGGGGCAGCTGTTGGTGCTGTGTGGGCTGGTGCAGGTGCTTGTGGGGGCCTTGCTGGCTGTGGGAGAGCATGGGCACGGACCGTGCGGTGAGTGCACGAATGTTTGCTGCGGTCTGTTGAGGCGTTTCTCACCCTAGCTGCACGACGAGTGTGTACAAGTACATCACAGACGCTGCTCTCATGAATAAATGGCTTTGCCCCCTCTCTCTACTTCTCTGTGCCATTGCAGGTACCATGTGTTGCGGCGTTTCTCGCCCAGGCTGCGGAGTGCGCTAGTGTGTACAAGTACATCACTGACGCTGCTCTCATGAATAAATGGCTTTGCCCCCTCTCTCTACTTCTCTGTGCCACTGCAGGTACCACGTGTTGCGGCGTTTCTCGCCCAGGCTGCGGAGTGCGCTAGTGTGTACAAGTACATCACTGACGCTGCTCTCATATGCCATGCCATGAGCGTGGGATGGAGGTAAGGGAGAGCAATGCACGACCCACACATGCATCCATCACTTAGATTACATCCATGAGCACAGCACACATGCATCGCTGCATCTGCACATGCACATGCCATGAGCGTGTGGTGGAGGTAAGGAGCACCATATTCACATACGTTTCAGTCCCGCCCATTCCTGCCCAATCCTGCCCAGTTCCACCCAGTTCAGCCCAATCTTCTTCCCCACTGCCTCCGTGACATCCCTGAAAGGACACTGCTCATTTGGGAGTCAATTTTGTGAATTCTCAAAAGCGACTCCTCAAAGGACACTGCTTATTTGATCTTTCAGTTTACCCATGGACCCACCCACCCACCGTCCCTTCGCTGTACTCATAGACCCACCCACCAATCTTTTTCGGCACTGGTCTTCTTCCTCCTTCTTGCAGAAAGTGTTGTATTGTCTGCAAGGAGGGTGGTTATACAACACTCATGCTAGAATAGGTGTAGTACACCAACCCACCCATTTACCGTCCTTTCAGTGTACTCATAGACCCCACGCACCCACCAATATTTTTCAGCACTGATCTTCTGCCTCCTCCTTGCAGAAAGGACGGTTCTGATGTGGAGGCAACGATTGCATGGCAGCTGGAGCGCTTCCAAGAAGCTTCTTCTGCTGCTCGCGCTGTCATCCTGCTTACACTCTCTAAGGTATCTCGCCTTGCAGACCTTTGCTGCCCACACACACCTCCGCACACACATGGACACACCTCTGCACACCTCCGCAAACCTCCTCACACCACTTCACACCTCCACATACCGTTCTGTGGCGGATCACATTCACTTCACCCGGCCTCTCTCTCCCTCCTTGTTGCACATGTAACACAGTGCTGCAAGACAGCTCCCTCTAACACAGTGTGACATTAGCTTTCGGCCTTCTTGGAACCCGATGTTGACAAGGCTCCTAGCGCATTTCTGAAACACTTGTGTTGCATTACCCCCGTCATGCCTCCGTCCCTAACCCCCTCTGTGGCTCATCGCATTCTTTCTACCGCCGCTCTCTCCCTGCAAATCTCGTGATACCTTACTGCTTTCTTCCCCCTTGTCTCTCCACCCCCCGCTACTTGCCCTTACCCTTCTTTGCAGCTCCCCCAGTCCTCGTCCTCACCAACCCCCGCGGCTCATCGCATTCTCTCTACTGCTGCTCTCGCGCTGCAAGACCCAAACGCCATGGTCTCACTTGCTGCTACCATCTGCGTGCACCAGGTATGGCACGTGGCATGTGACATGTGGCATGTGGCACGTGGCACGTGGCACGTGGCATGTGGCATGTGGCATGTGGCACGTGTCACGTGGCACGTGGCATGTGGCATGTGGCATGTGGCATGTGGCATGTGGCACGTGGCACGTGGCACGTGGCATGTGGCATGTGGCATGTGGCATGTGGCACGTGGCACGTGGCACGTGGAACGTGGCACGTGGCATGTGGCATGTGGCATGTGGCATGTGGCATGTGGCATGTGGCATGTGGCATGTGGCATGTGGCATGTGGCATGTGGCACGTGGCACGTGGCACGTGGCACGTGGCACGTGGCACGTGGCATGTGGCATGTGGCATGTGGCATGTGGCATGTGGCACGTGGCACGTGGCACGTGGCACGTGGCACGTGGCACGTGGCACGTGGCACGTGGCACGTGGCATGTGGCATGTGGCATGTGGCACGTGGCACGTGGCACGTGGCACGTGGCACGTGGCATGTGGCATGTGGCATGTGGCATGTGGCATGTGGCATGTGGCATGTGGTGTATGGCACATGTATACGGTCGTGACCAAAACACACATGGCTCATGGCATGGCACATCGGTCACGTATGCCATCTGCACTCTCTGCGCCGCGCTCTCTCCCTGCAAGTCCCAAGCGCCATGGTCTCACTCACTGACCGCTACCATTTGCGCTCACCAGGTATGGCATCACAATGCTAAAAGCACAAAGCATGACACAAATGGCACGTGGCACATGCGCATGCATGGTATACAGCCAATGGTATATGGGGCACATGGTGAATGGACTATGGAACATCGCGCATGGCACATGGCATATAATGCTATGTGCAGCTTCCAACCTCCCTTTCAATTTCATCTTTGCTCTCATTTCCTCTCCATCCCCCCTCCACTTCCCTCCCCCCTCCACTTCCCTCCCCACTCCCCGTCCTACCCCCACAACCCTCTCGGCCCTGCCTCTTCACGCCATGTCCGTTCCTCAATGTCTCTCCCAGTGCAGCTTCCTGTCTCCCCTTCACTTCCTTCGCTTTCCTCTCACTCCCCATCCCCTTTCCCCCCCACCTCTCCTACAACTCTCCCCGCCCTGCCCGTTCACACCACGTCCGTCCCTCAGTGTCTCTCCCAGTGCAGCTTCCCGGCCAATCAGACCCTGCCAGCTGCCACCATCCTCCAATCAGCGCGATCCATCTTGGTAAGAAACACCATGTGTGTGTGTGTGTGTGTGTGTGTGTGTGTGTGTGTGTGTGTGTGTGTGTGTGTGTGTGCGTGTGTGTCTGGTAAGGAGTGAACCAGTAAGGATACGCCACGTCAGCATGGTCATTGCTATTCTGCAACGAACGTGTATGCACTATGATGTACGTCCCCTGGTTGAGAGCCTGCTCAGAGAGGAAAAGAAAGAGGATGACAGGCGCACTGGACCACTAAGGAGAAGGGGATTGCTTGGCAATGCTCTTACTCCTCACGCTTCTCCCTTTCTCTCGCACAGAGACCGTGCGCCCCAAGCCCAGGCGGCAGCAGCATGGATGGCAGGCAGGCTTAGCAACGCTCTTACTTCTCTCTTTTCTTCCCATCGTCGCTCACTCCTTGCAGAGGGACCGTGCTCCCCAAGCCCAGGCGGCAGCAGCATGGATGGATGGCAGGCAGGCGCACTGGCAAGCAGTCTCCTGAAGCAGCAGCTGGAGCAGCAACAGGCACCCAGTGATGGGGATGAGTGCGCTGAAGAGCCCACGACAAGCACTGCATAATGCTTGTTCTTGGCAACGCTCTTACTTCTCACTGCTTCTCCCTTACCCCGTGCAGAGGGACTGTGCGCCCCAAGCCCAGGCGGCAGCTGCAAGGATGGCAGGCGCACTGGCAAGCAGGCCTGGCAACGCTCTTACTTCCCACTTTTCATTCCATCGCCACTCACTCCTTGCAGAGGGACCGTGCACCCCAAGCCCAGGCGGCTGCAGCGTGGGTGGCAGGCTGGCGCACTGGCAAGCAGGCCCAGCAGTGCTCTTACTTCTCTCTTTTCATTCCATCGCCACTCACTTCTTGCAGCGAGACCGTGCACCCCAAGCCCAGGCGGCTGCAGCATGGATGGCAGGCGCGCTGGCAAGCAATCTCCTGAAGCAGCAGCAGGAGCAACAACATTCACCCAGTAGTGGGGATGAGTGCGCTGAAGAGCCCATGGCAAGCACTGCAGAATGCTTGAGCTTGGCGCTGCAGGAACTTCAACCTGAGGTGGGTAGAATCACTCTCTCCTGCTCAACCGGTTTCTCTTTTTTTGTTTTCTCACTCGGTTTTTCAAGCGATGCTGCCCTGTTTCTGTTCTTTTGAGAACGCCGAGGCTATTAATAAGTGCCTCGGTAACAGTATTTCATGGTTTGTCTTTAGTTTAATTCCAAAGCTACCTACCGAATGAGCATCAGTTGGGTTTCTATCACTGCTGCGCGTCAATTGCTGCTTCGGCTTGTGTGCTTTGCTTTTTAAAATGACTGCTCTGCACACTGAATCTGGAAACGCTTATTGTGCACACGACCTGAATTTGTGGTCTGGTGCGGTGACATGACTGCGTGCTGAGCCTGTTGTTCAGGTCCGGGAGACAATGACAACCATGTGGTTCTTATCGGAGCATCAACCAGACTTAGTCACAAGCGCATGCAAGGTATGTATCACATGAGGGGAGGTAGCATCTGAGGAAGGTAACATCTGAGGGGAGGTAGCATCTGAGAGACGATGGAAACCATGTGGTTCTTGTCTGAGCATCAAACAGACCTAGTCACAAGCGCATGCAAGGTATCATCTGAGCTAGCCTGTAATGATGGATACTCCTGTTTTTCAGTGACATTTTACACCCATGCATGCTCACCCTGCCTCCCTGCGGGAGGCATGTGATACATTGTCTTTTACAACACGCACCCGCCCCCCTACTCGATGTTTGGGTCGGCTCAAGACCATGTCCCTCTCCCAATCTCCCTCATGCTGCAGGCATCCTCTTTTTGCTTGGCTCGGCTTCTGTCATCCGATCAAGTCACTGAGCACACCCTCCAACCGTTGATGTGAGTGTTGAGGACACTCACCCCTTTGTGAAGTCCAATTCTGTGAAGTTTCAGTGATGCATATGACTTTTGAGTTGACTTAGAAGTCCACTCAGGTCAGTGGAGATTAAATCATGTGGTGTCTTATAAGCAGGTTGTCCTCTTCCGTGTGTGCATCGTTCGACGTGATAAAAGTGATGTATTGAGACGTCTCAAAGCCTCAACCCAGTGGGGTTTGAGTCAAGCGGTGTTTGATAAGCAAGCTGTTTTCTTTTGTGTGTCCTTCGTTCAGTCACCTCATGCCTCCTCCCCTTCGTCTACCCTCTCCCCCTCAGATTCCCCTTCCTCAATTACATTCAATGCTCATGTGTGTGTTAGTGATGCCCTTTTTAGATTTGAGCTATCTTTCCGCTTGTATAATCTTCCTCTCTAATGTGTTTCAGGGAATGCAGTCTCTTCACCAGCAGCTTTTACCATTCCTCTCAAGTGACTTTGTAACGAGTTTTGATGCTTACAGAGGATCCGTTTTCTTTCATTTTTCCTTGTCAATATCCGTTTCAGGGAATCGGGTCTCTTCACAAAGTGCTTTTACCAATTCCTCTCGAATGACTTTGTATCGAGTTTTGACGCTTACACTGGATTCACACTGGAAGTGAGTACCCATCACAGTGTATTGCACACACACACACACACACACACACACACACGCGCACACACACACACACACACACACACACACACACACACACACTCACACTCTCACTTGATATATGTGGCCTCCATACTCATTCGCGCCATGTTTTCCAATATGAACCTCGGAGTACACCAACAGACCTGTTTTAGGGTATCCTCTCCCCCCTTTTCCCCCCTCCACCCCTCACCGCCCTCTCCCTTCCCCCACTCCTCCTCTCCCCTCTGCAGGCAGGAACTCTCCGGCCCCTCAGACTCCGTCCAGCTCACAGCTATACCATTTTTAGCCTCTCCCCATTTTCCTCCTCTTCCCCCCTCATCTTCTCTTCCTCTATCCCCTGCAGGCGCTCTCCCACCCCTCCAATGCCGTCAAGCTCACAGCCATCTCATTCTTCACCGGCCTTATCCAATTCGTAGCTGAAAACCGCTCAGCCGCACAGGCAGGCAGCAGCACCACATCTGCTTCGTCGACAACAAGCAGCGCATTTGGCAGCTCAATGCCTCCTTCCAGTGTTGCATTTGCAATCCCGGTGCCTCTCACCAAAGCGCTCTCCCAACTCCTGAAGAAATCCCCGAATGAGAAGCTCCGGGCTGCAGCAGCATCTTCCCTGGGGGAAATTCTTCGGCTCTCGTTCAAACGAGAGAGAGGGGTCTGATAGAATTTGATAGAAAGCGCTCTCCCAACTCTTGAAGCAATCCCCGAATGAGAAGCTCCGGGCTGCAGCAGCATCTTCTCTGGGGGAAATTCTACGCCTTCATTCTTTATTGAATGAAAGCTTTTTATTGAATGAAAGCTTTTTATTGAATGAAAGAGAGGGAGAGGTCAAAGTTTTTTATTGAAGCCCATTTTCTAGGCGTCACAGAATTGGCAATTTTCTTGGAAAGCTTCGGGCTGTGGCTGCATCCTCCCTCGAGAAAAGATATTCGGCTTTCATTTAAGAGAGAGAGGTCCGTCTGAATTTGTTAGGAATGCTACGCATGCAGCGCAAGTACTTGCATGCTTGCAGTCGTGGCAAATGGCTTATCTTGGTTGGTGCCATACTTTGAGCAAATATGGACATGTTCTGTTGCAGGATCATCCATTTTGCCCACAAAGCTTATGCATGCAAATAGGTTGGAAATTGGAATAGCGTCCTGGTATTTTGGGAACGTTTTAAAGTGCCGAACTGCAGCAAACAACACACAACACACACAGCTCTACGAACAGTTTAGAAACAAGGCATTCTTTGGGCAGGAGGACCAAGCAAAGGTTGACAACAAAAAACAGTTTACACTGGATCTACACTGGAACACCTTCAACGGATCTCCATTGAGTGGAGGGAAGAAGGGCCTTCATTGAGTGGAGAGGAGAAGAGTTTGCAACGAGTGGAGGGGAGAAGCCGTCCCAGTTAAAGCATGTGCAGATGACACGATAGGATGTGCACTGGTCATCCTACCGAATGCACCGGACCGAGCGGAGAGGCAAAGGCAGGATATCCCTGGTTAATACAAACAAGGGGAAGAGTTTAGGTTAAGATGACTAGTGTTGCCTTTGATGATTGGTGCAGAAAGGGAAGTGGAACAGCTGTGCAAGCATGAGGGTGGGAAACGATCGATCACTCGTAGTATATAACTGGCGTGAGGGGTTCCGCCTGGGTTTCCGAATTCAACTTTTGAGACGTCTCAAATATCACTCACATTACATAACCTGCGTGAGGGGTTCCGACGGAGTTTCCGGATTCACTGGCGCCTTTGCAGTTATCGGCTGCGTAGTTTTTGAAACTGCGACAGCTTGGAGCGTCGCCGATGCCGTCAACGATATAGATTGTGGTGACCTTTCCAACCACTGCGGCCGGGAATTGAGTGCAGCCAGCCAGGTTGACGCGGAAGGTGTAGGGCCGAGAAGACGCATCCTTGGCGTATCGATTCGCGATGAAAGTGGAGCTGAAAGAAGAGACAGTGGGCCGTCCACCTGAGAGAGAGTAAGGCGATTAGAGGAGAGGGAGAGGAGGGGGTAGCTGAAAGAAGAGACAGTGGGCCGTCCACCTGAGAAAGAGTGGCACAGGGAAGGATTTAACGCATTGTTTGTCTGCACCGTCATGCATTCCCACATTCACAAATACCTTCAAACATACCGTCATACATACATACATACATACCCACAATAGATGCATTGCCACATGCCCACAACATAGAGCAGCATCAGCGGTTAGCCAACGTGGCAGAGCGAGAAAGGTGAAGCTAAGAGTGGGGCAAGGGTGGGGCGAGAGGAGAGAGTGGAAAGAGAGAGGAGAGGAGGGAGTGGGGAGAGAGGGGAGAGGAGGGAGTGGGGTGAGAGGAAGGAGGAGGGAGTGGGGCGAGAGGGGAGTGGGGCAAGTGTTGGCAATGGAGAGTGAAGTAAGTGCGAAGAGGAGAGATTGGAGAGCAGAGCGAGTATGCGTGAAACAGACTCACCCGCAACACACTTGGTCGCGGTCATGCCAAAGCCTTTAGGGCACGCGCAGTAAGGCACCTGCACCGAACTGTTGGAGCTCGCAGGCACGGTCTTGCAGGTAGCTCCAGTGGGGCAGGCGCCACAGGGTGAGTCTGAAAGGGGGGAGTGGAGGTGGGTGTAATGCGGTATGTCAGCGCAATGGTTGTGGGGGCAGTAAGGCACCTGCACCGAACTGTTGAACGTCGCAGGCACGGTCTTGCAGGTGGCTCCAGTGGGACAGGCGCCACAGGGAGAGTCTGCGGGGCGGGGTGGGGATGGGTGCAGTGCGGTATGTAAGTGCCATCGCTCGTGGGGGATTGAGGCTCCTGAGGGTGAGCGCCACAGGGTGAGGGTGAGGAAGGTAAGGGATGGGGAGATGCAAGGTAAAGGGAGAAGCAAGGTAGAGAGGGAGAAGCAAGTGAGAAAAGCAAGGTAGAGAGGGAGAATGATAGATGAGTGGCTGAATTGAGTTGAGAGTAAGAGAGCGGGAAAGGCATGCTCGCCCCACTGGCGGGAACAGCAATTTCACTCACCCTACTGGCAGCAGCGCCATGCTCACTCACCCTACTGGCAGCAGCACCATGCTCACTCACCCTAATGGCAGAGCAGGAAGGAACTCACCCCACTTGCAGTAGCGCTTTCCGTTTCCATCCACCTCACATGTGCCACCCGCAGGCTCACAACCCAACGCCGCACAGGCAGGATCTGCAGCAGAGAGGAGAACAGAAAGGGGCAAGAAACAGAGCTATGGGAATGATTATGAAGGGGCAACATGGAGGGGCAACATGAAGGGGCAACATGAAGGGTGCTGTCACCTGTCGTTTTCAGCATGCTACGGTGTGCCGTGCGGTGAGCCATGCTTTTCACCGTGTCATCCCCATACGCTGTCTTCATCATCTGAACTGCTGCAGAGGACAAGGAGAGGACGTGCGGAGAAGAGAAGAGAGGGCCGATATGAGAGAGCAGAAGGAGTGGAGACCGGAGGAGATCAAGGCAACGGCTGACCACAAGTCAGGCACTTGGCAGCAATGAGAGAAGCCAATGAGAGAGTAGTAGACTGACCGGCGATGAGGGCGAGAGAGAGCAGCAGGAGGCCGGCAGGAGAGGCGCGCATCGACCCCATGATGATGACGGCGGGGGTCCCGCGGGAGAGGCGGGGGAAAAGGCGCGGGAGAGACGCAACAGGCGAGCTTGTGCTGTGACGCGCGGTTCACGTCGGTTTAAAGTGCGGAGTGTCGGTAAGGTGGGTAGACTGAGGGGTATTAGTCCTATGAGGGATACGAATCCGCCGCGAGGATAGTTCAATGCAAGGACAGAACCGGAAGGCGAATGGTGGTAGAATCACAGCGAGGGAATACTGGCAGACTTGCTTCGAGACGTAAGATTTATGTTGCGAATTACGATCATGAACCAAGCGTGATGGCCGCAGCGACATGGCGATCCTAGGAGCTCAGTCCGTGCTTAGCTCGGCTCAATCGCTGGAAACGATAATAATGTGATCTTTAGGAACGCGATATGTGCTTAGCTAGCGTGAAATGCGGGGACGACTCGCTATTTTGAATCTAGGAACGCGATCCAAGCGACGGGTTGCTGAAAATGGACGAAACGGACTGGCGATCGCGAACCAATGGCGCAACGCAGAGGCTTGCAGCAAGGCCTTTTTAGATTTCGGCGTCCAATCAAGTTAGCGTGGGAATAATACACGCGAGAAACTCGGGAATCAGCAGTTGCATTATACTTGTGACGAGCAGAGCGCGACTTCGCAGGATAGTCGCAATGAATAAAGTAGGAAGAAGCGGGAATGTTCGACTGATAGACTGCTCCCTGATACTTGGATGTGACGCGTTCAGGAGGCTAGAACCTTGGGATTGGAATTACACTACTAACGAAGGGTTCTAGCAGATGTGACAGTTCGGGCTGGTGACACATTTATTTTTTGGGTTGCGAAGCAACCCTTTACGATCGATTTTGCCAAATTTTATTTTCATGTTTATGTTTTTTAATCATGAAAATAAAACTTGTAAACTACAGTAATACCCTTCCCATATTGAATGCATGTTGTGGTGTTCTGAACACAGTACTGTTCATAGTGCATTAAACCATATGAGTATTTTGCAGTTGTTTAGTGCACATTTGCTGTACTGTTTACGTTATGTTTTATTGTTAGATGCTGTTGTGCATAAATAGATGCATGCATAATGCATAGATGATGCTATACAATCTATAATGCTTAATGTAATATGTTATGAATAATGCACATGCACACGATAAAATGCGTGACAGTTAATAACCCAAAATCTAAGCTACCGCCATCCCCTGCCTAGCATGGGGGGGAGGTCAATAGCTTAATTTTTGAATAATCAACTACCACATGAAACAACGCAATCTGTAAAGTCTTAAAAAAAGGTCAACTCTATCAAATCCAGTTCGAAGTGGTCGCACACGAGTCACTGAGTGCGCCAATGAACCTTTTGTGAAATGATAGACCTGAGCCTTTTTTTAAGAAATCACAGACATGCATTGCTATTGCAATGGACAATTATACACACAGATACAAAAGCAAATACACACATAGATACATACGTATATACATACATACGTACATACATACATACTGGTACATACATATACACACACACCAAACATACTTACTCACACAAAGATAATCAGTCACGCAATCATTTGAAGTCGACAAATAAAACCATGATAAGAACAAAATCTATATGGCATTGTCTACTTTATCTCCCACCCATATTTCTTCAACTAAATTGTCTCAAAAGGACCCAGAAGTAAGGCGTGTGATTCGTAACCAACTTCAAGCGTTTCGATCTTCACCGTTGCTGCAAGAAATTAAATAATGAAACAACAAATCAATGGAACAACAATAGTAAGTTACATAATACCGACATTGTTTAACAAAGTAAAACACTAAGAGAATACTACCATTTCACGCACCTCAAACCTCCTCTTTGTCGGTGTGGACGTTGGTTGGGTGCTCGACGTATCAAAGTTGACAGTGTCGACATTTGACTTCGGGACGCTCGAGATGTCAACAATGGTCTTGTGGATGCGCCCCCCCTCAAGACCAAAATGAACCTGAAGGGGGAAAGAGTATTAATGATTACACAATACTGTATACATTGACATTGCCTAAATAAAAATAGCGTCATACCTTTACGAGCCATCGGCCTTGAAGAGCATCCAGCAGGCTTTGGCGCTGATCCGAGGGCAAGGAAAGAAATGTAGACATCTGGAGCTGCGGGATTACTTTTGTCAAGATGCTTGGTTGAACCACCAAGCCGTGGGCATGGTTCTTGAATGACACTGAGATTTTTGAGCAAAACAACACAATATTAAATGCTTTGACAAAACGTCCAACACTGTACACAAAAACATACAAGTACAGTACTTACCGCTCTCGTGTACGACAAGTGTCACAGTGGTGTTATCGATCCGGGTGATCGATGCGGATCCATGCCTCGAGCACGAATGCTCGCGTGTACGACAAGATCTGTAAACAGTCAGCGGGCAGAAACCCCCTGGTCCACCCTTGCACACCGTGCGCGAGGTGTGCAAAGGATCCTTGATCTCAGCTACGAGAGACGCTATCTTCTCTTTCTTTGTTGTCATCACGACTGTGTCAACATTGCTCATCCTGAATACAAGCAACGGAAGAATTAATTTCGATCATCTCACTTATAAATTGTTCAAATAAGCTATGTATACTTACAGCTGCACGAGCCCGACGTCTTGCGGATCCGCTGTGTCGGGAGCATCTGTGATCTCCGACGCTCGTCGAGCGTCAAGAATGGCAACATCCGAGAGCATTGTTGTCGTGAACAATGCCGACTTTAGATAGACATTGCTAATGTAGACAGGCACGTCCGTAGCATCCGGATGTTCATCCATGTATGTCTTACAGCACTTGTCGATCCGTGTGGCAGCGTCCCCCAGCGCTACCAGGACACTCTCAAGGGAGGAATCGTGGATGCTCGCTGTAAGCTTGGGCAATCCACTTGGCTCCTCGTATGTTGGGGCTTTGAGTCTGACAGAAACGCAGGGGATCTGGTAATATAGAGGAGCAAAATGTAATTAAGATGATTACGAAAAATAAGAAAAGATAAAGGAGAACATCATTAAACAATAACGCAACTGTTGGTATGCCAAATAATAATATTTCATGTAAGAACATCAACTACAACTGATGAAACGGATCATACGTATATGGTATTAAGCGTTAGGGTTGAGAACAGCAAATGAACCACTTGTGTAAAATCATGATCAATACCAACATGAATATAGCTACGCGCTTATCACTTTAAAGAAGACCGCACATTAAGTATAAATACGAATACAAGCAACTTGTTCTTAGTAATGAATAAATACTAACTGTTGAACTATTTGTGTTGGTTTAGATGTGTTTTTGTGAGTTACATCATAAGGGGTACATCAAATGACACAGTTTCTGTCCTTCCTCTTTTCCTCGTTCTTAGTCATTTTTTCACATACCAAACTTAGCCGCAGTATAAGTCTTACCCTGGAATCGTCGTTCGTCTCGAAGAAGTTCATGAGCGGTGCAGTCGGCACGTCCCCCAAAGTCAGCGGCAGGCCCTCATCGTCTTCCACCAGGAATGAACAACGATGAAGCCAGGTCAGCTGCATGTCAAGGCCTCCGATAAGAGTCCTGTACAAATTGCATATATTAATATACATATTTATATGTACTCATGCATATGCTCAAGTCAGACTTAACTTACCAGCCAGGTTGTTTGCGCGAAGCATTGATACGACGAACTTGATAGACATCTCCAATGGAGATTCCCATCAAGAACTCGTTCAATGCTCGCACGTCGCATCGACCAGATCCTGTGGACTCTGGCCACATGACCATCTCGGCGACAGAACGCGCTGCATCAAGATGGTCATGTGGCCAGACTCTGGCCACAAAGCATCTTTCCTGGCGAAGTCTTTCCATCGTTCTTTATGTAAGTGTTCTTGACCCCAATCGCCATCACTTTAATATAGAAATCGGATGGCTTGTCTCCTCCTACTACCCAATCCTCCAGAAACTTGTGGTCCACCTCTACAGTGACCTGCAAGTAAAATATTATATGGTGAATGTTGTATTAACGAAGTGTATTGGATTTATGGTGCCTTACAATTATGCGCAAACAACATGAAAAGAGCAAACCTCACCGCATTACGGTCGTGAGGAGGTGGCAATGGCCCTGCTTTCAAAACCACATGGAATTTGAAATGCAACACAATAATTTTGGAGATGTTGATATTTGTACGATACGAAACTTTGGAGATGTATTGCAACTCTGGAGGTATATCAATCAATGACGACATAAACAGGGAAGTGGTCAGAAAAGTAAGTCTCGCCTACATGGACTTTGATATGCGTTTTGAAACAATTTGCCCACACGTGATCAATAAGTGTATTATTCACCGTAGTTGGCTCGATAACGAACTGAGTGAAACCATGACGTCTGAAGAAATTATCATACCGACGTTGTGGATTCGCATTGAAATCGAGATTGAAATCACCAATGAACATCATGTTATCATGAGAATGTTTAATAATAATGGATAATATTGTCAAACATTATATCTGTTGTTGTTGTTTAGGCTACAGTGGGTTAGCCTTTAGGGGGTACACAAACTCTAGGGTTGCATATTTGTACACACATTCTTGCTAGTTAGTTTCAACATGGTTTCAGAGCAGGTCCTTCGCTAGGACCGTTTTTTTAGGGCCCACCTACCTACCTACCTACCTACCTGCGCCCTAGAGCGCTTCGTACTTCACGGCCCCCTAAGGCCCCGCGACCCGCGACCCGCACCTTAGCGACCCGCGCGCCGCCCCTTAGCGACCCCGTCGGCCCCGCGCTCGCCCCTAGAGGCCCCTTACGGCCCCGTCGCAGCCCCTTAGAGGCCCCGTCGGCCCCGCGCACCGCCCCTAGAGGCCCCGTCGACCCCGTCGCAGCCCCTTAGAGGCCCCGTAGGCCCCGCGCGCCGCCCCTAGAGGCCCCGTCGACCCCGTCGCAGCCCCTTAGAGGCCCCGTCGGCCCCGCGCGCTGCCTGCTAGGGGCCCCGTCGACCCCGCACGCCGCCCCTTCGTGACCCCCGCGCCGCCCCTTAGGGGCCCCGTCGACCCCGCGCACCGCCCCTTAGAGGCCCCGCTGGCCCCGTCGACCCCACCCACCGCCCCTACCTGCCCCGCACGCGACCGCGACGGCCCCGCCCGCACCGAGCCGCGCCGCCCTGACCGAGCCGCGCCGCCCTAACCGAGCCGCGCCGCCCTACCTGCCCCAAGCCGCCCTCCCTGAGTCGCACTACCTACTACTGTTACTGCTACTGCTGCTACTGCTACTATGGCTAGTCCTCCCGTGCTAGCTTTCGATACT